ATAATTATCTAACAATTTCAAGGGTGCACTTAGTCCAAGAGGCCAATCTTTCTTCTAAATACTAGGCAAGAGGAAGAACTGAAGAGTTTGATTAGTCTAAAGCTTTTCTGTCATTCCTAACCCTTCCCAACCTTAAGAACATTCCTGCTGCTGTTCTGTCATTGTCACATGGTGATACCATTGAAAGTGGGGGTTCTATGCAATCCAAAGCACCCTTTTCTTTTTCCAGTGCTACAGTAACACACATTAATTTATGTTTTGCTGGGCCCAAAGTCTATCTTCCAAGGTTACTTTTCTTTAGGATATATTTATCTGCTTGATCTACCCTGACCCCAAAAAGCTCTTCCATCAATGAGTATTTCCAGTGGAGGAGTATCTTTTGCAAATAAAGGACGGCCAGATTGCCCTCTCTTACCAGGGCGCTGAACGCAACTATGTTCGTTTAAGTAACTAACAGGGGCTACTGCAGTGTTTCTTCCAGAAGAAAGAAACTCTGTTTCAAGGCAGCTTGTTGCTTGCATCATGTCAATAGCAACTTCTGCTAAAACAAAAAACAAAAAACAAAAAAACCAATTCTGCTTATCCAGGTACTCCAAAACATTGTAATATTGATGAGGAGGGACCAGGAAAAGGAAAGGATGAAGACTTAAGAGAGGAAGGGTGAGGACTAGAGCAGGATCCCTGAAGGCATGAGGCAGTGGGATCCCAGCACATGTGGGAGGGGTTAGTCTTGACAAGAGATTTGCCTCTCCCCTCTCAGGAGGGAAGGGTGGTTGTAGTTACAGATGTGTAATGATGGTTTGTGGATAAGAGATAAGCTCCATTTCCCTTATTTTTGTCTGTGGACAGGAAGCAAGGTCATTTGCTGACAGTAAGGAGGTAATGGGTAAGGGTGGGTTTCAAAGATTTTTGAGAATGGGTCGGTTTGCGTGAGCCACTGAAGAAGATGGGAGAGAATGCTGACCTAGAATAAATTGGGCTTAGAACCAGCATTTGGGGCCCAGTGGAGGCTGACATCCTTGAATTCACATGCTGCTGTCTCGGCTTTGGATGAATTTTCTCTCAGTATACACCAGCTTCTAGCTGGCTCTGTGCATTTCCTGACTTGCTAGCCAGGACCCCCACCCCTTCTTCTCCCACTTGGGGAATCATTGAAATCCAAGTGATGTTACTATAGAAATGACCCTAAATATGTGTTTTTTGTTTGTTTCTGAGACAGAGATCAGCATGATCTCAGCTCACTGGAACCTCCACTTCTCTGGCTCAAACAGTCCTCGCATATCAGCCTCCTGAGTAGCTGGGACTACAGCCACATGCCATCACACCTAGCTAAGTTTTGTATTTTTTGTAGAGATGGGGTTTTTCCATGTTGCTCAGGTTGGTCTTGAACTCCTGAGCTCATGTGATCTGCCTGCATCTGCCTCTCAAAGTGCTGGGATTACAGGCGTGAGCCACTGTGCCCAGCCTGAATGTGTTCTGAACATTCAAAAACAAATAATATATTAATGTCAGAATGTTGATATTTGACTTGATTTTGTCCCTAATATGTTGAGAATTGCCATTCTAGAAGCTTCCTCCAGTCTGGCCTGCAGTGCCAGAATCCTGGACTAACCCTGAATCCCACATTTCAGGTGTTCATTTGATATAAACAATGTTGGATTTTCTCTTAGGACATGTAAAACCTGATTAGTCAAATGGCTCTGTTTCTTTTCTCTGTTCTGTTTTTAAAATCGGTAATCTTTTCAGATGGTTGAGTCTTTCTTTTTTAGGCAGCAATTTTTTTTCTAACATGCCACTTGTGAGATTCGTCATTTTCAATGTGTCATTTAAAAATTGTTATACTAAACATCTGACATACTCTTTTTGTTTCATCTCTTGGTATGTTAAATAGAATTGGTCCTGTTTTTCCTTTGGTTGGAAAAATTCTTTATCATTTATTATTTTCTATGAGCATATTAAAACAAGGGGAAAAGATTGCTCAGTTATCTATAAACTTAGTACTTAAATATGTCAGAAAGCAAAATTAAGTAGAGTGGAGAGGAGACTCATTTCTATTTTCTTATAGCAAAACTTAGCTCAATTCTGTTTCCTTATAGTAAAACCTTCTCCCTCTCATATACATTTAATAATGAGATTTGACTGTTTTGCTGGGCATTCAAGGCCTTGCATGATCTAACCCTACCTACCGATTTAAAATTTATTTTGGCCAAACATGGTGACTTATGCCTATAATCCCAGCACTTTGAGAGACCCTGCCTCTACAAAATATAAAATAAGTAAATCAATAAAAAAATTTTAAAACACTCACAGAATTTATTTTGGCACTTTCTTATTTATTTATTTATTTATTTTGAGACAGAGTTTCACTCATGTTACCCAGGCTGGAGTGCAATGGCGCGATCTCGGCTCACCGCAACCTCCGCCTCCTGGGTTCAGGCAACTCTCCTGCCTCAGCCTCCTGAGTAGCTGGGATTACAGGCACGCACCACCATGCCCAGCTAATTTTTTGTATTTTTAGTAGAGACGGGGTTTCACCATGTTGACCAGGATGGTCTCGATCTCTTGACCTCGTGATCCACCCGCCTCGGCCTCCCAAAGTGCTGAGATTACAGGCTTGAGCCACCGCACCCGGCCTGTCACTTTCTTTTTTAAAAAAATTTAGTTTATTTACGTTCTGGGGTACATGTGCAAAATGTGCAGGTTTGTTACACAGGTATACATGTGCCATGGTGGTTTACTACACCCATCAACCCATCAACCCATCATCTACATTTTGTATTTCTCCTAATGCTATCCCTCCCCAATGCCTCCACCCTCTGCTATCCCTTCCCTAGACCCCCACCCCCTGACGGGCCCTGGTGTGTGATGTTCCCCTCCCTGTGTCTATGTGTTCTCATTATTCAATATCCACTTATGAGTGAGAACATGTGGTGTTTGATTTTCTGTCCTTGTGTCAGTTTGCTGAGAATGATAGTTTCCGGTTTCATTCATGTCCCTGCAAAGGACATGACCTCATCCTTTTTTATGGCCACATAGTATTCCATGATGTATATGTGCCACATTTTCTTTATCCAGTCCATCATTGATGGGCATTTCGGTTAGTTCCAAGTCTTTGCTGTTGTGAACAGTGTATTTTGGCACTTTCTTTTCTGCACTCTGTTCCACAGTCACTATTAGTTTAGTGCCTTTGCCCTGGTCCCATAGAAACATGTTCCAGTTCTTAGCATTAGGTAGGGTTTCTCAGGTCTAAGCAGCCACTCATTATTTTTCAGCCACTTTATATATCCCTTTCCTGCATGAGAAGTAAAAGTTGTTATTTATCGATATGCTTTGGCTATCTCCCCACCCAAATCTCATCTTGAATTGTAGCTCCCATAATTCCCACATGTCATGGGAGGGACTGGTGGGAGGTAATTGAATCATGGGGGCAGGCCTTTCCTATGCTGTTCTCTTGATAGTGAATAAGTCTCACAAGATTCGATGGTTTTATAAAAGGGAGTTCCCCTAAACAAGCTCTCTCTTGCCTGCCACCATGTAAGACTTGACTTTGCTCCTCATTCACCTTCAGCCATGATTTTTAGGCCTCCTGAGCCATGTGAAATTGTGAATTAATTAAACCTCTTTCCTTTATAAATTACCCAGTCTTGGGTATGTCTTTATTATAAGTGTAAGAACAAACTAATACACTTGTCTTAAATACTAACGTACTCAACAGAATATATCTACATATAACAAATTCACACAAACTTATTTATACTCCTAGTTGCCATGAGGGGTTCACAATGAATGTGTCCCCATCCTTTGACCTGCCCTGGCCAGCAATCTGATTTGCAGAATCTATGGAAATCAGATTGCTGGCCAGGGCAGCTTTCCTGAAGTTGATGCTAGAGCCCAGGTTTTAATGGCAAGGTGAAGCTGTATAAACAAGGTACAGAAGGCTGTTCTGGGGAATGGATCAGCTGTGGAAGACATGAAGTCCTGTAACACAATGGTGACCATCAGATTTTATAATCGGCTCAATATTTTGTAAGATTAAAGTACAAGGAGATGATTAGTGGAAGATTACTCTAGAATGGTAGGTAAGGGCCAGAATAGTGAAGGCCACAGAACTGGTAATAGGGGATGTGAGAGAGGCTAAATAGGCCCCTTCCCCTTATGCCTACAATGCACACTTCCCCTAGGGTTGATGGGGAATCTGCCAAAAACAGCTTCTATCTAGCTCAGTCTTCTAGCAGAACGTCTGGTAAATCACTTATGATAGCTGGGTGTGGTGGCTCACGCCTGTAATCCCAGCACTTTGGGAGGCCGAGGGGGGTGGATCACAAAGTCAGGAGATCAAGACCATCCTGGCCAACATGGTGAAACCCCGTCTCTACTAAAAATACAAATTAGCTGGGCGTTGTGGCGCCTGCCTATAATCCCAGCTACTCAGGAGGCTGAGTCAGAAGAATTATTTGAACCTAGGAGGCAGAGGTTGCAGTGAGCTGAGATCTGTGACACTACAAGCCAGCCTGGTGACAGAGCAAGACTCTGTCTCAAAAAAAAAAAATCACTTAGTGATATAAATACTCTTTAAGACACCATGAGGTCAGTAATTGTGTTATTTCCCAAAGAAAGCAACTCAAGAGGGTGGTGGTGATGTGGCCTTTACAAATGACTTTTTAGATAATGGACTTTTTTTTTGAAAAGAATTGTTTTCTTAATGGTTAACTCACTGTATCAGAAGGTATATGGCTATATGGCCCAGAGATATGGGAAGTTTATTACTGATGAGATCCTGTTATTAGTCCTTTACTTAAAATAGTTGAATTATGCATCTTTAATTGCACTAAATGTATTAATATGATCTGGAGGTAAATTTACAGTTTTCTTAACAATAAAATGGGGATTCTTAGACTGAAAACTCTATGGGGCTTTTGAATTTATGAAAAAATGATGCATTACACTTGAAAATAGACAAGAATGCCCAACATAGATAATTAACAAATATTTTAAATTAGATTCTGCGTTCATGGAGGGAATATGACCTGGCAGTAATGATTATAAATTACGGGAAAAAAATGTTGGACATCACACCAGAAAGCAAGTCTCTGTTGGATGGTAGTAATGAACAAGAAGAAATGCCAGAGGAGGTAATTGTGTTTGTTTCTCGTTTTTAAACCTATGTTTAGTTTGTGTCTTTAGGGGTAATATAGTATTATGAAACATATTAGAAAACTGATAAGTTTTACTCTTGTTATGTTTACATATAAGTAAAGTAATCTATTAAAGAGCTTTTGGGTTTTGTCTTGTTTTTTTGAGTTATAGTGAAGAAAATTAAGAAGGAATCTCTGCTAGTATACTGAATAGTCCCCATCACCACTCCCAACCATCAGTTAGGCGATCATAGAGAGCTTCCTACACCCAGTTGGACATGGGACTTAAAAGCTCTCTAAAGTCTCTTCTAGATCTAAGATTTTACTGTTCTGGGTGGGTCATTGAATACAGCAAATACATGTCAGAATTTTTTTTACTTTGTGTTCAAAGTCGATTTCTGAAACTCACTGTGACACCTACATTCTCTTATGAGACTGCTAATTTTTGAGATGAACTTTTAATATCTGCCTTCCTTTATGCTTATTGCCTTTCCTTGAAACTATGTAGTTACATATTTTTATAGATCAAGTTTTGAAATGTTACTTAGTTCATTTGGTTTCTTTCTTTTTTTTTTTTTTTTTTCTTTGTGAGACAGAGTCTCACTCTGTTGTCCAGGCCAGAGTACAGTGGTGTGATCTTGGCTTACCGCAGCCTCTGCCTTCTGGGTTCAAGTGATTCTTCTACCTCAGCCTCCTAAATAGCTGAGATTATAGGCATGTGCCACAACACTTGGCTAATTTTTGTATTTTTAGTAGAGATGGGGTTTCACCATGATGGCTAGGCTGGTCTTGAACTCCTGACCTTAGATAATCTTCCTGCCATGGCCTCCCAAAGTGCTGGGATTACAGGCGTGAGCCACCGCCTAGGAATTACTTGAAGTAGCAAACTAGGAATTACTTGAAGTCCCTTTCATGGCTTGGATGGGGGTAGAGACTCTCATCCTTGACTCTGTTTCAGTTAGAGTAGCTCCATTTTTATCTGTGATATGTTGAATTTCCAAGTAAGCATTTGTTTGCCAAAAATATCTTTAAAATCACCACTGTTTTACTGGATGATTTTTTAAGCCATAATACCTTTTTTTTTTTAGTTGGGAGGGTGTTTTGTCTAGAGGGAATTTTGATTAAGCTGAAAGCAATTTGAAGGTTTTTTTTTTTTTTTTGGTACCATGCAGTATCTACTCTCTGAGTCCATCAGCCCCTTTATGTCACCCAGGCCTTGACTTAGGGCCTTTCACGTCATGGTAGGACAGGCCTCATACCTCTCTCCTTGAAGCTTATAGTTCAGTGGAAGGTTGTGATTTTTCCATCTAAGATTGTAGAGATAGTTAGTTTACAGTAGTCAGAAATTACTAGAGCTACTCAAGGTTCCTTTAAGCCTAAAGGGGCTTGGAAAGTTTTTTGGAGAACAAGAGACATTAACAGGTCGTTCTCAGGCTCAGACAGAGAAAACATGGTCTTGAGCCTGAGTGCAGACAGGCGGATTCTTAATCCACTAATTACTGACTCCCTTACGTTTCAATGAAAGGCAAAGTGGCAAAGGTAATTAGCTTAGCTGTAAAGAAGCTCCTTCTGGGAAAAGGAAAGGAAAAAAAGGAATAAAGGGCTACATTTCTGAGGTTACATTTCCTCTTTGAATTGTCTTTTCGAGATTTTTAGAGGCATAGTCTCAGCTGCTTTGAGAATGCAGGTTTTGGAGGGCGCTGTCTCGGTGGGTGGAAATTACTGGGAGAAAGGGAGAGGGAAACGAAGGAGCGTTTTGGTCAATCTCCATGAAACACAGTACTATGTCTGCATTTAATTAGAACACAATGACTGTGATTATTCATTGTTACTAATTAATATTATTATGTAGATCATAGTTTTTATCTACCAAATATGAAAGTATGAAAACATAATTTAAAGGATGTTGTTTGAAAATGACAGTTGTTCCAACACGTTAAAGTACATTTTGACATTTACCGATGTTTCTAGGATTCTTCTAAGAAGTCTTTAAAGACTAAGAAGCCACAGCAGATACTGTTGCCTGAAAAGATAAATGAACAGCTGGCTTTGTTGGAGACACACCTACTCAAACTGACAAAGCAATGTAATCATTTTTTTTTTCTGTATACTTCCGTTTAGCATTAAGTTTTTTAAAACAAGAAAATATTTTGTTCAAAGGATTACAATGAGATTAGCATTTGGTAAACCCTTTAAGATTTACACAGTGCTTTTACATTATATCATTAATCCTAACAATACCCTGTTAAGGGATTGTTAGCCACTTTTTACAGATGTGGCTCATAGAGATTAAGCGATTTACTTAGGATTACGTAGCTGGCTTGGACTTGAGCCTGCACCTTCTGATTCTAAAGCAAGTTTTCTCAACCTCGACACTGTTAGCATTTTGGGCCAGGTAGTTCTTTGTTGTGGGGGACTGTGCTTGGCACTGTATGATTTTTAGTAGCATCCCTGGTCTCTACTCACAGAAGCACAGCACACCATCCACCTAGTTGTGACAACCATCTGGGTACCCTTGAAGGGAGAGTGGGAGGGGGTTATGGGAGGCGCAGAATTGAGAATCACTGCTTTAAAGGCAAAAATGCAACTGGGAAATAAAGGGATAGTGTGAAGGTTGTTAATGTGTAAACGGTTTGAACCAACACCTTCCAGAGTAGAAAGCAGAGTGAAAGATGAGTTTAATTTTAGGTCGTTGTACTATAGTAATTTCATAATGAACCAATGTGTTAATGCAATGATTGGTGTTTTGGAGTTTGCAGACTGGAAAGCTACTTGGGAAATTGAGTTAGTTTCTGGTGATGATTAGTATTGTCACATTTTTAAAAAGCAGGTACTTTAAATCTTCTAGAACAAGAGAGTACTCAAAATTGAGCCTTAAACCAAGTATGATAGTTGTTGCAACATGTTAAAGTACATTTTGACATTAACCGATGTTTCCAGGGTTCTTCTAAGAAGTCTTTAAAGACTTTTGCTCCATGGCCTTTGGGGATCTGGCTGTGCTTGTAGAATTCCATGTCCCTACTTTACCTTTCCTACTGTGTGCCTCAGTTCTGTCTTGTGGGCTTCACTGACTTGGATCTCTCTCTCTTTTAATATGTTCCACGCCTGTTTCAAGCATGGATTTATGACTTGAACTAAGTGTTTGATTATTCCTATAACTAGTTAACCTAGCTTTGGGAAAGCTGTAATCATCTTATTGTATATAGAAAGTATAATTCCTTAAAATATACAGTGTTCTGGAAGTCTGAATTATTTATTTTCATAATATTGGTAAAAATATTTTACCAAGAAGCGCAATGGGCTATAAGTAGCTAAATGGCAAATTCTCCCTGGTGGTCTAATGGTTAGAAAAAGAATAGTAAATTCAAAAACAACAATAATAAAATGATAGTTTTGTACATCGTTTTCTGTGTGCCAGTCACTATTTTACAAAAAATATTATTTTTATAAAACATACACATTAAAACTTATGCAACCTGTATGTAAGAACCATATGAGAAAGGAACTATTATTATCTCCATTTTAAAGATGAATAAACTGAGACACAGAGAAACTAAATAACTTTCCAAGGTTTCGTAACTAAAAAATGTCATGATTAGAATTTGAACCCAGCCAGTCTGGCTCCAGTGGCTGTGTTATACTTTACTAGCTTTTAAAGATAATTTTACTAAAATGGAGTTAATATAATTGGTAGATTCCTGAGTATTGGGTTTGCTGATATAGGACAGCTGTTGAATAAGAGAGAATAATGCCTTAGAAACTTTTTACCTATTTGGTGGTGGACCCCTTAGCTTTTAGGGGGAAAAGTGAAGCAAATAATTTAATTAGATTATTTTTGTTTCCAAAATGTAATGCTATAATTGACATTGTAAGGCACATAATTTAGAATATTTTAGTATTTTCCTGTTTTTCATCTCTTTTAAATAATTTTTATATTGAATTACTCAAAAAATTTTTATTTTGGGTTATTAAACAGAACATACAATTTTTGAATTTTTTAACTTTAGATGTTACATCTGAACTCTCAGGAGGAGAAGACCCTATATTTCTTTATCCTGTAGTTGTGAATTGGTCAATCAAAGGTGCCGTGAAAGAAGGTAGGTGAACTGGATGTGTATGTGCTGTTCACTCAATTTATTACTGAAGATATTAATTCTGTGGATTTTGTTTCTGTTGTCTACTTGAAGATTTCACCTGTTTTAGACAGGTTATTTTGAATTCTTATCCATTCAGAGTAATTTGGAATCCTGATTGCCAAGTAATGAAAGAGACCTAAATAGGTACATGATTTAAAGTCTGGAAAGACAGAACCTTGATGATGGCTTATTACTATAAAGCTTACAAAAACTAGGGCATTGAAAAATCTATTGGTGGCCGGGCACAGTAGCTCACCCCTGTAGTCTCAGCACTTTGGGAGGCCGAGATAGGTGGATCACCTGAGGTCAGGAGTTTGAGACCAGCCTGGGCAACATGTGAAACCCCATCTCTACTAAAAATACAAAAATTAGCTGGGCATGGTGGTGGGCACCCATAATCCCAGCTACTTAGGAGGCTGAGGCAGTAGAATCACTTGAACTTGGGAGACAGAGGTTGCAGTGAGCTGAGATCGTGCCACTGCACTCCAGCCTGGGTGACAGAGTGAGACTGTCTCAAAAAAAGAAAAAATGAGCCAGGTGCAGTGGCATACACCCGTAATCCCAGCACTTTGGGAAGCCGAGGCAGGAGAATCACAACGTCAGGAGATCAAGACCATCCTGGCTGATATGGTGAAACCCTGTCTCTACTAAAAGTACAAAAAATTAGCTGGGCGTGGTGGTGGGTGCCTGTAGTCCCAGCTACTTGGAAGGCTGAGGCAGGAGAATTGCTTGAACCAGGGAAACATAGGTTGCAGTGAGCTGAAAGTGGGGCAATGGAACTCAAGCGGGGGAAAAAAGTGAGACTCCCATCTAAAAAAAAAAAAAGAAAATAAAAAATAAAAATAATATATATATAAAAGTGAATTTCAAGTTTAGCTAATTAGAAATGGCAACATAATTGATTAATTCAGAGTCAAATATAAAACTTAGCATTCCTAGTTATGATAATTATCAACAATTTTTTTCCCTGGTCAGTCATGTGTTGAAAGTGACCTTAATGAAATCTTTCTCAATACTGAGATATTTAGAAAATAAATTTAATGTAATTTGTAAAGGATTCATTGATATTAGAAAAACAATAGTTCACACCACATTTATTCCTATATATTTTTTAAAATGGAAAATCTAAAAAGCAAATTAATAAACTTGCCTGTTTGAACAAAATGACTGTTAGCACTGGCCACCCTTCAGTACTAATAATTGAGTATATTGGTAACTATATGTGAACTTCCTTGTTTTTACAGTTATGAAATTTAAGCAAAAACCAAGATTTCTGGAATTCTTTACACAAGTTATGCTAAAATGCATGAATGAGGAAAAATTTCATCTTGTGGTAGAGATAACAATTCCTGTCCATGACTTCTTGAAAAGGTACTTGCAATGATCAGTTTTATACATGTTAACAACTTTAAAAAATGAGTAACATTGTCAGTTTTAAGAAATATAAGGTAGATGAAGAAGAGAGTGGAGTACATACAGTTCAAACTACCACCTAAGAGATAGTGAAAAATCCTATCTGTGTAAATAAATAAAAGTAAAAAACATATATACAATGAACTCACAAATGAGAATAGAGTATGTTCAGATCTCTAGCTGGAGATAGATTAAATCTTTTGCTATTGAGTCAGGGTGGATAATAGTATCTCTAGGTCATCAGTTCTTTCTCACACAGTTCTTTTTGGGTCCAGTTTTGGTCATTTATCATGTTTCTAATTCTTTTGTGGTAACAAATAGAGCCATTTGTTGGGGTTTCCGTTTGCATATGTGAAGAGGGAGTTCCTCAAACAAAAGCAGTAAACCTTAAAGCTGTCCCTCCTATTCTTTAAGCCTGAATGATTCTCTTTGCTCCCAAAGAAAATGATAGTGCCTCACATCAATTATGAGAGATGCCAAATGAATCCAGCTTTTCTTCTAGCAACTGAGAGTGGGGTGTTCTTCACTGGGCATAGATCTATCCATCCCATTTTAATAAAAGTAAACATCAGTGACATGAAACTTATTTTTGCAATGGCGGCAAAAGAGAAACATTCTCTTAAAAACATACAGAAAGATATTCCTAAAATAGGTACTTCATTTATTAGAACAGAAGCTTAGAGTATATATGTACTTCATATTTTCAAAAAATAAAAGGAAATTGCTTATATTAAATGAAACAGGCCATGATAATAACAGAATTGCTCAGAATGAGAGTTTAAAATTTTTCAAACAGCAGTTAAAGTTAGATGTTTAGGAGGGTTAAATAATGTTCTTGATTCCAAAGAAAAACAGAAGATAACTTTCAGTGTGCAGGCAAATTTGGAGGGCTGGCTGTGGAAGTCTAAACTAAGAATAAGAAATATTCTGAAAGAGGAGTATAAGGTTTAATACTGTATTTATACTGTACTTTTCTCATGTTCGGATATGTTTAGATACATAAATACTGACCATTGTGTTACAACATCGTCTACAGCATTCAGTATAGTAACACACTGTACAGGTTTATAGTCTAGGAGCAATAGGCTGTACTATATGGCCTAGATGTGTAGCAGGTGATACTATCTAGGTTTGCATAAGTACACTCTATGACATTCACACAATGACAGAATTGCCTAAGAAAGTATTTCTTACAACATATCCCTGCTGTTAAGTGACACATGACTGTATAAATAGCTAAAACAATGAAGAAGTCATCAGTAATATTGCTTTGCATAAAAATTTAAAAATACTATTTATCAAAATGGAAAGCCGTCAGTCAGAGCTCCACAGAGCAGTGCACACATCAAGGAGTAGAGGAATTTAATTTATTCAGTGGATGAAGGTTCTGCTGCACAAGAAGGAGAATGCTGAGATGGTGGCAAAGACTATAGTCTAAATGTGACCTCCTCTCCTTCCCATCTGTTTCTGGAAGAACGTAGCAACCACATCAAGCACCCTGGTAGTGAGGGAGAGAAAGAGGAGAGGCTGTAGAGAAGAGACCTAGCTGGTTGGAAATGAAAGGCCGGCCCAGGCTGCAAGTTGTGGAGGATAGATCCCCAAGTCTCTTATGGTCATTGATCAAAGGCTTCTAATTTAGGCAGCAAAACATTTGCCCAAATGAATGTCAACTAACTGGGAAATTCTTAGGATTGCTACAACTGAGCTGGGGCTCTAGACAACCATGGGATTAGGATCATTTTCATCAAAACTGAAGCAAAGGACCCAAGATGGATTTAGGTCAAGTTTCAACCCCTGGAACTAGCTATCCAGACTCACCCCGTCATTTCATTAGCCTTGCATTAATGAGATCCTACATTTTATTCAAGTTTGGGATCCCATTTATCACGTTAAGCAGCTTTGCTTTACCTGGCTAGTACACCGAAGAAATATAAATTCCCAAAAATATAGAAATTTCAGGAAAAATAGGCAAGTATTAACAAAGGGACAGTGTGAGGCTATCATATTGGGAAAAGGTGAACTCAGCTCCTGTTGGTATTCAGAGGGCAGCAGTGGCTGGGAGTTTGCAAAGCATAGAACCAAAGAATTGAAATCTCTTGGAAGCAAGGAAGCTTGTCTAGGGTTACTTTTACAGCATTCTCTGAGCTGTAAGAGAAGTGTCCATGTTACTTTATTTTCAGTCCAGTTCTGTTCCATCTACATCATGCCTTCAACTCCTCTTTTTTTCCACGTTAGAAAACCCTGTAGGAGCTTTTATTATATGATTATGATATATAACATATTCTCTCATATATTATGTAATACATTTTTTTTTTTTTTTTTTTTGAGACGGAGTTTCACTCATGTTACCCAGGCTGGAGTGCAATGGCACGATCTCGGCTCACCGCAACCTCCGCCTCCTGGGTTCAGGCAATTCTCCTGCCTCAGCCTCCTGAGTAGCTGGGATTACAGGCACGCGCCACCATGCCCAGATAATGTTTTGTATTTTTAGTAGAGATGGGGTTTCACCATGTTGACCAGGATGGTCTTGATCTCTTGACCTCGTGATCCACCCGCCTCCGCCTCCCAAAGTGCTGGGATTACAGGCTTGAGCCACCGTGCCCGGCCCTATTATGTAATACATTTTAAAACTTATTCAGTCTCCTATAAATAGACAATTAAATTCTTTCTAATTTTTTATGATTGTAAACAGTGCTGCAAAGGACATTCTTATACATCTGTCCTTATGCATGTGTGAGAGTTTCTGTAAAGATACAGGGCTGTAGTTTCCAAGATGTGAACATTTTAACATTATTAGATACTGCTAAGTTGCTCTTAAACTTTCATCAATGCTGTGAAAAGTTTCTATTATTCAACTCTTCACTGACACTCACATTTTATAATATGATTTACATTTTGCTCTTTTGAGAGAGCAGCTATTTCTTGATGATCAGAGATATCACAGTCTAATTTATGCATAGGATACAAGCAGTTTTGATATTCTTACATAATTTCAATGACAACCTTAAAGACATGTTACTTTGGGGTAGTTTTGTAAATTTTTGCAGGTCTTTTTGACTGACTTTATCTTTTTGTTAGGAGAAATGAGTCTCTACTTGAAATAAAAAAAGTGAAATATAAGGACAGTGCTTTAAATAAAAAAGCAAACAAATCTTTAAAGTTCAAAGCTGCCGTAATGGAAATTGGAAGAGTAAGTTATTTATGAGTTTTAAATTTTAGGTAATGAAATTAAGAGATTCATTTATCTAGAGATGATTGGAGACATTTAAAACTCATTATACTATGAAACAGAAGGATATACCAACAACCATATTTCATAATTACACAATACAACATAATTTTTAGATTGACATAGATAGTTATAATCAGATTTTTTTTTTTTTTTTGTCTACAGGGGTACTTCTGTTACCTTTGATAGTAATTTTAATTGAGGGTCTAAAGAAACTACTTTATTTCAATGTCAGGAGATAAGCATTAGGGTATGAATAAATTATACTACTGTGTTCAAAGTTTAAATTTAACGTGTAACATTTTTATCTCCTCTATTAAGAGTGCAGAAATTCAACAAAGAATAAGAAGTAAAAGAAAGGAAACTCTAAGAGATCTCATTTTAAAACATCCAGCTATTTCTGAAATGATGGCACATGAAAGGTATTAACTAATTAATTCAATAAAAGTTTACTTGAGCATGACTATGTTTTGGGCATTATTTTGGGTACTACGGATACACTGGTAAACCAGATAGGTGAAATCACTGCCTTTAAGGAACCAAATACTGATGAAAGGAGCATAGTAAACACATAAATAAAGAAGACAGTTAAAAATGTTGATAAATGTTATGAAGTAAATGAAATTATTTATAATATAGAGTATTTGGCTCGGCGTGAAGGTGGTGGTGGCAATAGTTTAGGTAGGGTGGTTAGAAGAACAAGTTGATAAATTAATTATCAGTGAACCTAAAGTTCTTGATTATAAAATGTGTTATGGCAAAATGTTTAGTTTCTATTTTTATAAGTACACATTATAAGTATACATATATAAGATTTTTTATTCTTATACATTCGTTATATATCTTACCTTCACTATATGTTTTTCTATACCTGTTTAGTGATTTCGATTTTAATTTGCACCACATAGATACTAATAGAACCAATTCTGCTTTGTTTTTATTTGCATTTGCCTACTATCTCTTTGATTATTCCTTCATTTTCTTTATTTAAATTGCGACATATTTTAGATGGGTATAAAAATAATATAACAACTATGCAATTTAACGTGTAAAACCTTTCAAACACAATTGAAATCCCTGTGTACTGTTACTGGTGTGTATTTCTGTTTTTCTCTATCCTGCAGATAATACTATCCCAAAATTTGGCATTTATCATGCTGATGAGTGACTTTGTATGTCAGCCTCATATGTATATAGCCTCAAATAATGCATGGTATAATTTTTTTTAATTTGCTTTGGAAATTTGCTTTTTTCTCTCAATATTATGTTTGTGATTTTTTTGAATGTTAGTTATACATGTCTAGTTTATTAATTTTACTGCTGAATGGTATTTCATTATATACCAAATATCACATAATAAACAAATTATATAATAATAATATAATGCATTGTATTTATTTTATACATATTTATATATGCATAATACATATACATAATATAATTATAAATAACACAATTTAGCATATACATAACATAATATAAATAATATATATATATTTATTACACATATATATTATACATTTTAATAAAAAATTTTAAGTGACTTATTCAGTCTCCCATAAATAAACATTTAAATTCTTTCTAACTTTTCACTGTTATAAACAATGTCACAGAGGACATTCTTTTATGTATCTCCTCATGCATGTGTGAGTTTCTGTACGGTAAATACACAGGGTTGTGGTTTTCAAGATATGAACATTTTAGCATTACTAACTAGATATTGCTAAGTTACTCTTACATTTTTATCAATGTTGTGAAAAATTTCCATTATTCAACGTCTTCACCAACACTTGATATTATTACCACATTTTTGTGGAACTGTGTGGTGTGAAATTTTATCTCATTGTTGTTTCAGTTTTCATCTCCTTGATTCCTAAGGTTATGCATCTTTTCATATTTTATTAGGGCTGAGAGTTTTTCTAAAAGTTGTTTTAGCTACTCTAGGATCAATACCATTTCATATACATTTTAGAATAAATTTGTCTGTAATATGAATTTTAAAGATCTATTTCTTGTACCATTTCATATACATTTTAGAATAAACTTGTCTATAATATGAATTATAAAAATATATTTATCACTTCCCTCCTAAGTACCATATTTGCTTTGGGATTCAGAATGAAGCCCTTTATCACATTTAGGAAATTGTCTTCCATTTTTTATTTTCTAAGAGTTTTGTTGTAAATTATGTTTAATTTTATTGAATATTTCTTTTTCATTTTTTTTCTTTAATATGATTGTGTGATAAACTACATTATTACATAAATGTTAACCCATGTGTTTTTTGCTGATACCACTTCTGACATAAACCCTGTGCTGTTTTTCAGCACCAACCAATCTTCAGCACCAACCAATCTCCAGCACCAACTGAGCCTCCCCATATGCACTTCATTGAATTTCTCCTTAGGATAACATCTTGTATAACCATAGCACAAAAAGACAATTAGATGCTGATGCTGTCTACCTAGAGTTAGCAGCAGATCCCACAAGTTAAAGGGCTCAGTCCCACAACACTGCCACCACTTCAGAGGCCAGTCACAAATGTGATACCTAGGATACCCACACTTCTGACTATAAATTCAGAGATTCCCTCCTCAGGTTTGAAAATTTGTTAGAATAGTTCACAAAACTCAGGAAAATACCTTACATGTTTACTAGCTTAATATAAAAGATGCAAATGAATAGCCAGATCAAGAGGTATGTACCAAGGGCAAAGTCCAGATGGGTCCTGAGCACAGGAGCTTCTGTCCCTGTGGAGTTGGGGCACCACCCTCCTGGCTTATGGTTGTACCTACCTGGAAGCACCCTGAACCTCCTTGTTCAAGAATTTTCATAACCTGGCTTGCAGCCACCCTCCCCTCCAGGAGGTGGGAGGAGTGGGACTGAGAGGTCTCACCCTCTAATCATATGTAAGATAATCCCTATCCTGAGGCTATCTGGAAGCTCCACCCTGAGTCACCTCCTTAGCATAAACTTATATATGTTCACAGGGACTTTGTGTGAGTAACAAATTTCTTTCACTCCGGAAATTCCAAGGGTTTTAAGACCTCTGTGCCAGAAATTAGGGGACAGGTACCAAATACATATTTTTATTATCCACATCATACGTGCACATTTTTACCAACAGATTCAATTTCTTTGAGATTAATACATCTCTTTGAGTCTCTAATCTTTTTTTGAGTTCCTTTTGATGAATTATATTTTTCTAAAAAATTGTCCATTTTATGAGTTTTCATATTTATTTATAAAAAGTTATACTTTCTTATTACCTTTTGACTGTGCTATATCTATAGTTACATCCTGTGTTTCATTGCTAAGTTCATTAATCTTTGTCTTCTCTCGTATTTTTATCATTTGTTTTGCCAGAGTTTGTTGTAGAAAATAAAAAGTTTCTCTTCAAAGTTTCCCTTGTTGTTAAAGAATAATAATAGTAAATGTTTGAAATAATAGTCTCTTTTAAAGACTAACTTTCTTCAAAGCCTTCTTGCTTTTTGCTAGTAACTCTGTTAAGCCCTATCCTATTTGGCTGTTAGACATAAAGAAATTAAGTACATTCTATGTCCTTGTACTTTAACCAAGATATTTATGTGTCGGACATGCTCACAGGCATGTAGTACATTCTATGTCCTTGTGCTTTCATCAGGATATTTATGTCATTTCTTTTCTAAGTCCTTTTGCAAGCAACTTCCTCTCCCTTCCTTATTTGGACTTCCTCTTTTCCTTTGTTCTCAGTTGCCTTTACCTATTTAGAAAAGTTTTAAGTTGTTAGCCAATCGGGTTTAGTTTAGATTGTGAGGTCTGGCTCCAACCAATGGAGATTAGACACAGCAATAAGGACCCAATGAATAACAGATAAATATGCCTGCCTTTCCTTTGTTCATTGCACTCTCGTGGCAAGACTGCTGATGAGTAGTGCCCTTTCTGCAGAAAGTACAATTACCTTGCTGAGAGATCCTTTGTCTCAGTGCTGAGTTTTCTTTGTGGCACCTAGCACTCGTTTCCAACATTAGTCTATTTTTTAGTCCTTGTAAAGAACCAAATTTTGTCTTTGTTGATCTTTTCTATTGTCTTAATTTTCTTTTTCATTACCTTTTGCTTTTATATTTATTACTTTCTACCTTCCTTTTAAACAACAGCTTTATTGAGATAAGTCACAAAGCCATACAATTCACCCATCTGAGTGACACACTTCAATGGCTTTTGTTACCTTCACAGAGTTCAATCATCAACACCATCAATTTTAGTACATTTTCATTAACCTAGAAAGAAACCCTGCACTCCTTAACTATCTTTCCCCTACATCCAATCCTCTCCCTCAGCTTGAGGCATCCATGAATCCACTTTCTGTTTCTATAGATTTGCCTATTCTGGTTATTTCATGTAGGTGTAATCATATAATATGTGGTCCTTTGCCGCTGGCTTTTTCACTTAGTATCATGTTTTCCAGGATCATCCATGTAGCATGTCTCAGTATTATGTTTCTTTATTGCTGCATAATATTTCATGGTTTGGATATATGACATTTTGTCTATCCATCAGTTGATAGACTTTTGGATCAGTTGTTAGACTTTGGGATCAAAACTTTTGGTCCACTTTTTGGCTATTATAAATAATACTGCTGTGAACACTCATATAAAGTTTTGGTGTAGACATTTTCATTTCTCTTGGGTACCTACCTTCTTTCTTTTGGCAAATTCAGTTGTTCCTTTTCTAACTTTTTAGGATGCTTACCTCACAGAATTTTGGCATTTTCTTTTGGTGGAAATTGACAAGCTGATTATAAATTTATGAGAAAAAAGTGCTACAATTAACTAATAACTGGAGAATGCCTATTGTTTTAAATCATGCATAGAGTATTTATACTATTGGCTCTAAAGCAGGTCTCAAGAAATTTCAAGGAATTGGAATCATATGAACCATATTTTATTACAATGCAATTAAGGTAGAAACGAAATTTTGAAAAGTTAACCAAAAATATCCTATACATTTGAAAATCTGAAGGAGACACTTAGACATAATTAATGAGAAAAGATTGAAATTACATTCACATGTTGCATAACATTTTGATCAATGGTGGACTGCATGTACAATGGTGGTCCTATGCAATTATAAAATCCTATTTTCACTGTACCTTTTCATGTTTAGATGTACAAATGCCATCATGTCATAATTGCCTGTAGTATTTATTACCCTAATCTGCTGTAGAGGTTTTTAGCCTAGGTGTGTAGTAGGCTATGCCATTTAGGTTTGTGTAAGAACATCCTATGATGTTCAGACAACAATAAAATCAGCTAACAACAGATTTCTCAGAATGTTTCCCTGTCATGAAATGGCACACAACTGTACAATTATAATTTAAAAACAAAGAACTTGCTGGAAATATGGTTGGGATTGCTTTGAATCCAGAAAACATAAACATTTAAGTTTTCTTCTAACCATATTTTAGCCGCATCATATATATATATATATATATATATGTGTGTGTGTGTATATATATATATATATATATATGTGTGTATATATATATGTTATATACATACAATATATAATATATAAATAAATATAAATGTGTATTTATGTATTTATATATAAACATACATAAAACATTTATATATACATATACATAAAAATATATACCATATATATATATGAGATATATATTTTTATATATATGTGTATATATATATATATATATATTTTTTTTTTGGACACCCAGGTTGGAGTGCAGTGGCACTATTGTAGCTCACTACAGTCTCCTACTTCAGTCTCCTGAGTTGCTAAGACTACAGGCATGTGCCACTGTACCTGGCTATTTCTTTTCTTAATTGTAGAGACAGGGCATTGCTGTGCTGCCCAGTCTGGCCTTGAACTCCTCGGCCCAAGTGGTCCTCCTGCCTCAGCCTCTCAAAGTGCTGGGATTACAGGCATGAGCCACTGCACCTGGCCTGCAGCCTACAATTTTTACTAAAAGCGTTTTCATTCTTATTTAGATCTAAATATTTTTAAATTATCTTTATAATTTCTGCTTCCTGTGAATAGATCTTACATGTCTTTGCTTTGATTAATTCCTTGGTATGTTTTTGAAGCTACTGGACATAGCTTCAGATTTTTAGAACTCTTTGTTATTGATGGTATGTAGAAATAGAGTTATTTTTGTATATTGACTTTCCAATCCTTTTCCCCTTTTCCTTTGTCTTCCTTACTGTTCTGGCTAAGGCCATCAATATAATGCTAAAACAAAAATCATGTTAGTGGGCATATTTGTCTGATTCCCATTTCATAGGGAATATGTTCATGTTTTCAACATTTTATCATTAAGAATGGTGTTTGTGGTAGGTTTCGTTCTGTGGATATCCTTTACCAAATTAATATTATTGTTTATTTCGATTCTCAAATTGTTCTAGATTTGGCTAGCAGGAGCTCTTCCAGGCTAGCTCTTCAGTTTTTGACATGTTTCCATCTTTTTTTTTTTTTTTTTTTTTTTTGAGCTATTTCTCTCTTACCACAAGGTGTTAATCTTGTACACACTCTGTACAGCCCTGGAATCAATTTATTCCTCTTAGTGAGAAGTGGTATTTAGAATCTTAAGTTGCGAGGGCTATGGATATGGCTTTGCTTCCAGGTCCTCTCAATAGTCTGAGCTAGGAAATATATTTGTTCAGATAAATTTATTTATTTATCTAAATGTATCGTCTATCTAAATATATCTATCTAAATATAGCTATATAAATATCTCTCTAGTTCTCTTATCTATATATCTAAAACCATATATTCTAATACCTGCAATTCCAGTTCACAACCACAGAATACTTTCCAGAGTTTTCTCTTTTTCTAATTATAACTCTTTTCCCTAATGGTGAAAATCCTGGTTCCATTAATGTCAATAAGCTAGCTCATTTCCTTAGGCTAGAATGTATAGAAGGTAGTTTCAGGGTTCCTAAATATTTTTTAATTCAGGTGTTTATCTGCTTCCTCTTATGGCTTCACATCACTGAGCATTTGTGCTGATCATCCTTGTGGAGCTTCCTCTCTGTCTTTTAGGTGTCTTCAGACTTGTTGCTCATGGAGGCACAATTCAGATTATTAGAGCACCCTGAATGTTAAGAACTGTTCAGATGATAGGAGGAAAAGCATCTAAACTCTGTGGCTTGGCTGTGAATTCCCTTCCAAGCACGTGGAGTCTGTCATTACCTTGTCAAGATACCTGGAGGAGGCCTGTCCTGTCGCTGATCTCCCTGAACTATCGCACTCTCCATGGCAAGGATTATTGTTAACTCACCTTGGTCTTTTGAGGAAGATTGATGTATTCACATGAAAACAAGATTGATTTTCATTTTGGAAAGTATGTTTTTAACTTTCAGGGCATAACTATTAAAAATATTCACATTTATTAAGAAACCAAATAACATATCACTAAAACCAACTAAATAATGACAAAAGCCCTAAAACTCTTGAATTAAAAGCACATCGTCAATAAACTAAAAAAAAGAATTTAGAACTGAGTCATCAAGTAAACACTGCATATCAAAAGGAAGCTGCCCTCCTTCCTTTCTTCCTCAAATGTTTCCTCCTCTGTTGCAGCAACATCTGTCTGCCTTCTTCCTATCCATCTTTCCTTTTTTCTTGTATGTGCGTATTTGTGTTGATTCAGATTCTGAACAATATTTGTATAAGTGAACAACATCAGGTAGGATGGTGCTGCCCATGGGGTAGCAACATTACTAACAGAACAAAAACATTGAAAATATGTTTGGAACAATATGCTCTATAAACAACTATGTAACTACATAAATAGTTGGACTAAGAGTTTTGTTAGGGATCATTTTTAAAAATGGAATATATACTTGAAATCTAAACTATTAGCTAAAATTTCAGTATTTCTGGATCATATTGAATATGCAGTTATGAAGTCATCTCATCTATATTCAACCAATGTTTTGTTTCCTCTAGAGTCTAACTAATGTTAGACAAAATTTTGCTGCATTGTTTTTTTCCTCAAGGACCAATACAGAGAAATGATTTTCTTGTTTAATATTGAATTTAGTTGATGAATGTGAACATCATATCATAATTTTGTTGTCTAATCTCAGTGGCCTTTTGGTTATGAAAAAGAAAAGCTCTGTTTGGTTTGAGCTGAGGACACAGACTTCAGAGAGAGTTGAAGACAATACATGGTGTCTCTGTCCCTGGTGCTTATACCTGTGCCTTTTTTTTACCACCTTGGTTCATATTTTCAGCACTGTGGAAATGATAAATAAGCCAGAAACATTTGCGTAAGGGCAGTCAAGTGACTTCTTGATGTATTTTTTTAAACAAATTAGAATGATTTTTTTAAATTAAATATCTGAAAGTTTTTGTGTAATTTCCAAACTTTTTTCTCCCTTGGCAGAAATAAGAGAGCCAGTGTTAGAAGAGCAGCACAACGGTACCTGATGGATTACTTGAATCCTCTAATATCAACTTATATTAAAAGAAAGAGGTTCCGTCGTGTTTCTCTTGAAGAGATGCCCTGGAGAGCTCAGATGAACCTGTATCTAGCAGGCGCACACTTCAACCTGGTTTTACAAAAGCTGGGGGAGCGTGCAAAGATGAAATCTGGCACTTCACATATGATGGTCAGGTATGGTGTATTACTGACGAATAATACTTTTTTAGTTTCATGAGCATGGATTGTATTCGTATGTTCAGAGCTCCAGTGGTGCTAACAACTTAAGGAGGTTTACAGAATGCTTCTATCTTTATACTGGCTATATTAGTCTGTTCTCATGCTGCTATAAAGAACTTCCTAAGACTGGTAATTTATAAAGGGAGGAGGTTTAATTTGACTTGCAGTTCCACTGGGGAGGCCTCAGGAAACTTATAATCGTGGTGGAAGGGGAAACAAACATGTCTTTCTTCACATGGTGGCAGGAGAGAGAAGTGCAAGCAGGGAAGATGCCAGATGCTTATAAAACCATCAGATCTTGCAAGAGTCACTCATTAGCATGAGAACAGCATGGGGAAACTGCCCCCATGATTCAGTTACCTCCACCTGGTCCTGCCCTTGACATGTGGGGATTATTACAATTCACGATGAGCTTTGAGTGGGGACAGAGAGCCGAACCGTGTCACTGGCCATTGGTTTATTTCTTAATTTTTAATCTCAGAATCTTTCCCAATTATATGCTTGGATATAAGTGATAATTTGATTATAGCTTGAATATGTTTGTTGATCTAGCTTTCACTGCAAGGGTAAAATGTAATATGAATTATAGAATAAATGTAGATATTAGTAGGCCTTAGGCAAATGTCTGTTTCATAGAGGCATAGTTGAAGCCTCTATAAACAGAGATCATATTTACTCATCCAATGTCAACTTTCTATCATTAACTGAACAGACATTTTTAAGCTCTTACCGTCTTTGGCTAAGTGCAGTGGGAGATAAAAATAGAAGATACATATATAATATGAATGCTGTGTAACCATTAAAAAGGTGATGTAAAGTCACACATTAAAAACAATACTTGTTCAGTACCTATTAGATATAAGGCACTGAGCTCAGTGCAATGGGCATACAAAGATGAACCAGATACACAAGCTAGGGTCTGGTAGGGTATGTCACAAATGCTCATGAATAGCTTGTAATATATGGTAAAAGGGAAGTACAAATAAAATCTTCTTTGTTACTGGAAGAAGGCTTTTCCTTTGGTTGGAACTAGCAATACACATTTCATGGGGAGGAGCTACAGGGCCTGGGTCTTGATGGATAGGCAAGGTTTAAAAATGTGCAGAGAGGGAAATAGGCATTCTCGATAGTTGGAAGAACATGAATCAGAGCCCAGGTAGAAAACACAGGATGTGAACCCCAAATAGTCTGACCAAAATCTAGGGTGTATGAAAGAGAATGGTGTGTGCATGTTCTCACTCATAGACAGGTACTGAACAATGAGAACATGTGGACACAGGAAGAGGAGCATCACACAATGGGGTCTGTTGAGGGGGACCAGAGGAGGGACAGTGGGGGAGGTGGGGAGTTTGAGGAGGGATAGCATGGGGAGAAATGCCAGATATAGGTGACAAGGGGAGGAAGGCAGCAAACCACATTGCCATGTATGTACCTATGCAACAATCCTGCATGATCTGCACATGTACCCCAGAACCTAAAGTACAATTAAAAAAAGGTAATAATTGAAAAAAAAAAAAAAGAGTGGTGTGAAATAATTAGAAAAGTAGGTTGGTACCAGACCATGGTGGGTCTTAAATGTCTATTAATTTGAGTTTTATTTTACATACAGTAGAAGGTTATTGAGGGTTTTCGAGCAGGGCCATGATAAAAATGTCTGTGGCAGCAACTGATCAAATAGATTGGAGGGAGGAAAGACTGGAGACAAGAACATGAATTAGAGGGTATTTATTTCAGTAATCCAGTGAGGAAGACATGCAGGTTGAAACTCACAATAAACTTGATCCCAGTTTCTGTTTCTCCAGAATTCTGGTTAAGCTCGCTACCAAACTGAACCTTTGCAAAAATATCTCCAGATAGATCCCTTTCCCATGTGGGCTGGACCAGACTGGCATTCAAGAAGCAGTTAGTTTGCCTGACTGACTTGGAAGGCTTTTGGCAAAGGGAGCCATTCAAGGGACCATGACAGGGGAAATGGTTCAGAACAGATGGGCTTCCTTACCCTTCTCTGAACATTGAAAAGTTTCTGGGCTTCCAGTTGTACAGGACCCCTCATGCATGATCACTTGGAAACGCAAAAACATAATGATCAAACCTGCGTCAGGATAACTTGGTGCTAACTTCAGTTTTATTAAATCTATTAATCTCAGTATTTGTTATTATTATTTTACTTTCCAGAAGTTATTGGGGTACAGGTAGTATTTGGTTACATGAGTAATTCTTTAGTGAGTATTTGTGAGATCCTGGTGTACCCATCACCTGAGTACTATACACTGTACCATATATGTTGTTTTTTGTATCTCATCCCCCTCTCGTTCTTCCCCCCAAGTCCCCAAAGTCCATTGTATCATTCTTTTGCCTTTGCATCCTTATAGCTTAGCTCCCGCATATCAGTGAGAACATACAATGTTTGGTTTTCCATTCCTGAGTTACTTCATTTAGAATAATAGTCTTCAGTCTCATGCAGGTCACTGCAAATGCTGTTAATTCATTCCTTTTTGTGGCTGAGTAGCCTTCCATCATATAAATATACCACATTTTCTTTATCTACTCAATTAATGAGCGTTTGGGTTGGTTCCATGATTTTGCAGTTGTGAATTGTGATGCTATGAACATGCACGTGCAAGTTTCTTTTTTGAATAATGACTTCTTTTCCCTGGGTAGATACTCATTAGTGGGATTGCTGTATCAAATGGTAGTTCTGCTTTAATCAGTGTTATTTCTTTTTAAAAATAAGGTCTAGGCATTAAACAATCTTGCATCAAAACTATTTATTATTTTTGATACAAGATTGTTTAATGCCTAGACCTTATTTTTAAAAAGAAATAATGGGGCCGGGCGCGGTGGCTCAAGCCTGTAATCCCAGCACTTTGGGAGGCCGAGGCGGGTGGATCACGAGGTCAAGAGATCGAGACCATCCTGGTCAACACGGTGAAACCCCGTCTCTACTAAAACTACAAAAAATTAGCTGGGCATGGTGGCACGTGCCTGTAGTCCCAGCTACTCAGGAGGCTGAGGCAGGAGAATTGCCTGAACCCAGGAGGCGGAGGTTGCGGTGAGCCGAGATCGCGCCATTGCACTCCAGCCTGGGTAACAAGAGTGAAACTCCGTCTCAAAAAAAAAAAAAAAGAAATAATGGATTGATTCTCATGCCTGTAATCCCAGCACCTTGGGAGGCCGAGGTGGGCGGATCACGAGGTCAAGACATCGAGACCATCCTGGCCAACATGGTGAAACCCCGTCTCTACTAAAAATACAAAAATTAGCTGGGTGTGGTGGTGTGCGCCTGCAGTCCCAGCTACTTGGGAGGCTGAGGCAGGAGAATTGCTTGAACCTGGGAGACAGAGATTGCAGTGAGCCGAGATCACGCCACTGCACTCCAGCCTGGCACCTGGCAACAGAGCAAGACTCCGTCTCAAAAAAAAAAAAGAAAAGAAAAGAAATAACATTGATTAAGGACACACTGCTTTATATAGTAAGCATCATCATTGAGTTCTGTATAATCAGGTGGTTTTAAGTTGAAATAAATTGTTGTTTCAGAGCTCACAGAGTGGGCACAGATTTTTTATTCCCATTTTCAAGGGCCTTTTCAGATAAACATATATCGATGTTAAAATTCCTAAGAGCAAAATTACATTGTATAATTTTAAAAGTTAATGAAAAAATGTTGGGCTTTGATTAAGTGCCAAAATCCTTCATGATTTAAAATTTGAGAGTTCTCACAAATGTTTTAAAAATAAAAATAGATTTCATTTGACAGTTGTAATTCAATTTTGCTTATATTGTTTTTTAATGTGATTTTTTTCCTCCCTTGCAGTTTCAGATCATGTGATCCTAACATATTCTCACTCTATAATTCAGGAACAGTATTACCAACACGAAAATTGACTGTAGAAAATTATAAAGCAATGCTTGATTTCCTTCTTACAGCCAAAAAAAGAAAGGCCAACTTACCATCAGGTAAAATAAACACATTAGTTTATTATCAAATTACCTCTAGATTTTTATTCACTAAACAATGTAACACATATACACATCATGTACATACAATGGTGTATACACACAGTTTTCCAAAGGACTAGGAATTTAGTTGAGTTTTGATATTTTGTAGGAAATTCTTGTCTGCTCTATTAAAAATAAATACATACATATACATATATATATATATATACACATATACATATATATATATATATATACACACATATACATATATATATATATATATATATATATTTATTTATTTATTTAAATGGAGCCTCACTCTGTAGCCCAAGCTGGAGTGCAGTGGCATGATCTTGGCTCACTGCAACCTCATTCTCCAGGGTCCTGGTTCAAGCAATTCTCCTGCCTCAGCCTCCCAAGTAGCTGGGATTACAGGCATCAGCCACCATGCCCAGCTAATTTTTGTATTTTTTAGTAGAGACAGGGTTTCGCCATGTTGGCCAGTCTGGTCTTGAACTCCTGATCTCTTGATCTGCCCGCCTTGGCCTCTCGAAATGCTGGGATTACAGGTGTGAGCCACTGCGCCTGGCCAAAAATTTCTATATTGTTGTGATATCATTACATATATTTGGAAATACCTATTTTGTGTTTTAACCTTATCAAATTTAATGCTGAACATTATATTTGATTGTTCAGCAAATATAATGTTTTTTATTAAATATTTGTAGCCTCCGGTGGTTCAAGATAGGTGAAGACTTGCTATCAGGTGTTATGTTTTAGTGGAAATAAGTTCTCTAGCAAATTTTATCAAGCATACTAATACAAGCAGGCACTCAAACTATCATCATAGCTGATTTTGTATTCAGGGGAATCCACCCTTGCCCTAGGATTTTCAACCAGTACCTTCCAAGAAAGCTCACTCTAAGATGAATGAAGTGTTGTTATCTGGTCAGGTGACAGGGAGCTCCAGAAGGTAGAGACATACAGGTAAACAGTGTTTGTTTTTTTTCGTTTGCTTGTTTTGTTTGTTGAGATGGAGTCTCACACTGTCCCCCGGACTGGAGTGCAATGGTGTTATCTCAGCTCACTGCAACCCCCGCCTCCTGGATTCAAGCGATTCTCCTGCCTCAGCCTCCCAAGTAGCTGGGATTACAGGCATGCGCCACTACGCCTGTAGCTAATTTTTTAGCAGAGACGGGGTTTCACTATGTTAGCCAGGCTGGTCTCGAACTCCTGACTTTGTGATCCACCTGCCTAGACCTCCCAAGTGCTGGGATTACAGGCATTAGCCACTGCACCTGGCAGTAAACAGGGTTCTTGAACAGGGTGTGCTCTGGTAACTGTAGATGAACAAATCTGACTAATTTCCACACCCCTTCCTTGCAAAGATGATGGAACCTGGACATCTTCTAACCAATGATACAGTTCATTTCACAAATAAAAATTTATTTCTAATACCTTTGGGTGCTGACAAACCCACTTTTATATAGACTTTTAGTAATGACATTTTAAGTGCTATGGGATTTATTGACAACCAGAGTTCTTGGTATGCCAGTTAACTGCCTCAGCAGTGTTGATTTATGTTTGAGGTACTTGGCATGCTTTCTGATTTCTTCTAGGATATAGATTAGGCTTCACATGTACCTGCATATCTTACTATGTATAGTAAAGTATTTGAAAGTGAATTCCATAGCCATGGAGTCTGATTTTTGTATGTAGATTGTAGAATATAGCTTCCTGAGTTTTTTTTTTTTTTTTTAAACTGGCTCTCTACCTAAGACCTACCGTGAAATTGGCAATAGAATATTTTGCTACGGAGACTTACTATCTAATACAGGATTCTAAGGGAAAGTTGGTGGGAGGAGAAAGCCTTCTTTCTTATGCCACACCAGCAGGGGAATGCATGGCCGAGGTTGCTGTGCTGCCTGACTGCAGAGGGTGCAGCTCACTTTCTGATGTGTGTGTCTTAGGAATGGCCTGTTTGGGAGGAGATGAAAGGACAGTGGTATTTTCTATTGTTCCCTTAAAAACTGTACCTTCTTACTTCTGCATTGTTCCTTTTGCCATTGACTTTGTCTGAAATGATGTTCTCTGTATCTCCCCATATAGCTAAATCATGCCCATTCTTTAAGACCCAAGTGCCTCCTTTCTTAGGAACTTTCCCTGCTTCATTGTATCGGTCATAATCTTGTCCTTTCTCCAGATTTATGTAACATGTGTTATCTGAATTACTCATTTGATCCTTATCACCTCCTATGTTTTCTGGAACTTAATTCTATGTTTTTAATCATGTCATACCTTATTTTTGTACTGTAGATGCTGAAGAATTTTCTACATTTATTAATTCCAAAATGAGTGATGAAAATATGTCCAAGACACAAACAGTTCACGACTCAGACTCTCAATCAGGTTCTAGTGCTAAAGAAAAGGATCGAGGAGCAAATTTGTGTGTAATGGATCATTTTATGAAAATCTTTTTATACTGCAGGAGAGCAATGGTAATGCAATCCTTCTTGTTTGCTAGTATAGTAGACATAAATCTCAGCCCAACAACTCAGGCGTGTACGATATATTGTATTTATTTTCTTACTATACATAATTTTAGTTGTGATTTTGAGACCTTATCTTGCTGGGTATAGCCTAAGTCACTTTTGAGGTGTACCTGCAATGATACGGAGGGCATGCATTGTCCAGTTGTCAGGCAGAGTGGGGAAGCTGCTTCTTTAGTCAGTCACCTGTCATCCATCCACCCAGAGCCCAGGTGGTCATTGTCCCAGTTCATGCAGTTCCTATTAATATGCATGCACCTGTCTACTGAGTCATGGGGTTCTTTCATAATGCAAGGGATTCCTCTATGGGGCTTGATCTCTCTTGGAGGTTCCATAGATCGATCTCTTTCTAGCACAGTGAAAGATCTTTCTAGGCTACAGGAAAACCCTGCCCTTCTTTCCGGCCTCCTTCTTCCAGTGACTTGTATGTTCTCTCAAATGCTTTTCTTTCTTTTTCTTTTAAAATATTATATGAGACACGATTAAACCCAGAACTGGAATTGTTAGCTACAAAGAAACCAGCTTCTCTTTTTCATAGCAAGAAGGGCATATACTTTAAGCCTCTCAAGCAATAAGGAAAAATCTATCCTTTCTAGATAAGAAAGGAAGACAGGTTCACATACGCTCCATGGAGTGGACAGAGTGATTTTACATAATGTAATGTAAACCTGGATCTCCTGCTTTGACCATGAGCATCAAATCCTAGCCTCCTGGCCACCAGCATCAGGGCCCTGGAAGAGCTGGTCCTGAGCACCTTGCAGATCTGAGCTCCTCTTACTCTTGCTGTTGTTTAGCCCACTCCCAGGGGTCAGTGGTCTTGAGAACCCTTAGCTTGTTCTAACTGTCCTGAGCCCTCAGTTTCACCTTGCTGTCCCCTGAGCCTCATTGGCCATTCCCTGAGCCTCAAATGTTATTCTTCATCCAGCACCCCCACTGCCACTTTCACATGACTTGTTCAACAAATGCTACCTCATCAGAGAGGACTTCTTTCCCGACTACCCTGTCTAAAGTAACTGTCCTATCATGCTCTGTCAGGTTCCAACTCATTTCTGCTTTATTTTTCTTTATAAAACTTATTATTGCTTGGAATTATGTTTTTATATGTCTACTTTTCTGGTGTTCATCTTCCCAGATGAACGTAAGCAGCATGAGGGCAGACCCAGTTTCCCTTGCTCATTGCTGAATTCCCAGCACCTAGAACGATGGGATTTTTGGAGTCAGATGACTGGTATACAAATTTGAGTTCACCACTTAGTAGGCTCATGACCTTCAGCAAGTTAGCCATGCTGACCCCATGCCTCCACTTCCTCATCTGTAAATTGGGTAAAATACTAGTGCCCAGTGCACACTTAATTTATGGAAATTTTTGTTCAAATTAAATGAGATAATGCATATAACACAGTATCTAACTCATGTAAGTGACACTAAAAATGATGTTATTTTTGCTATCGACATAAATTTTTTGCAAAAAGTTGAAGTTTTTCAGAGATCTGAAACTTTTGGAACTTTAGAGTCTTTTAAATTTTGTATTTGTCATAGGTTCTTGCTCATCGTGGTGGCTATTGGACTCTGCTTCAGAACTGCTGTCGGGCCTTTTGGAACTTTACTCAGGAACTACAAATACTTCTTAAACAGGGAGTGGATATTTATAAAACATTTCCTATTAGTCAAGATGGTTTCCTCTGCACCTCTGTTTTACCATTCTATTTGGGAGCAGAATTACTTATTGACATGCTAATACAACTACAAAACACCAATTCTATTAAGGTAAGGACACTTTGGTAATTATTTTTATTATATTCAGTTAAAAATATCTTTGTACTATGCATCTTGGTATAAGTAGAAAATGATATTTTTCATGATTTCTTATTTGGTTTTGCTACATTTAATTTGCCTCCGATTATAATTTTGTTTACAATATATAACTTGCATTGATGTTAACTAACAATAGCTTAGCCTGAAACTTTAGTTTGTTGCAGGGAAGGAAAGTAACATTAACTGAACTCCAGCCCCTACATAAATTAGCCTTAATGCACTTAATCCTTATAACAATTTTTTGACAGATAAAGAAATAGATTCCAAGGAAGATCACATAGCTTGAATAAAGGTGTGATTGGTTGATCTTTATTCCACAGCTTTATCTATCCTGTTCTATTATTCTGGTCTGCTAGAATTTACAGCCATTTAAAATTTATTACACTGTGAGTTTAAAGCGTGGAAGTAAAATAGAAGTAACATAAAAGTAATATAACCTAAACACACTGAAAATTAGTAAACACATACACACGTTGAGCCATGCGACTTAAAACATTTCTAGAGGAAAATATTTGGCAGTGGCAGAAAAGATAAAGAGGGTAAATAAAAATAAACTATTAAGTTTTTTACACTTTATATAAAGTAGTACAATATTACCTCTAAATGGAATGTGGTAAGTTAAGGATGCATTTAATGATCCCTTGAGTAACTAGTAAAACAGAGATATAGCTGAAAAGTCAATGAAATAAAAGGGAAGACTAAGTAATGCTCAATTAACTCAAAAGAAGGCAGGGAAGAAGGAACAGAGGAACAAAAAACATGGCACAGGCCAGGTTTGGTGACTCACTTCTGTAATCCCAGCACTTTCGGAGGCCAAGGCGAGCAGTTCACCTGAGGTTGGGGGTTCGAGACGAGCCTGACCAACTAAAAATACAAAATTAGCTGGGCGTGGTGGTGCATGCCTGTAATAATCCCAGCTTACTCGGGAGGCTGAGGCAGGAGAATTACTTGAATCTGGGAGACAGAGGTTGAGGTGAGCTGAGATCGCGCCACTGCACTCCAGTCTGGGCAACAAGAGTGAAACTCCATCTCAAAAAACAAACAAACAAACAACACAGGGCAAAGAAAAAACAAGTAGAAAACATTCACTCTAACTTAATGACATCAATAAAAATATTTAATATGAGTGGGTTAAAGGTGCCAAATAAAGGGTAGAGATTGTCTGACTGGATACAAAAGCAAGACACATGTACCTGTCTACCAAGAGAAGCACTCTTAATATAAAGAAACAGGTAGATTGAAAATAAAAGTAGGAAAGAGATGTACCATGAGAACAGTAAAGATAAAAAATTTGGTGAGTCTGTATTATTAGATAAGATATTATAATTCAAGGAGTATTATGAGAGATAAAAAGGGACATTTCATGTTAAGAAGAGGACTAATCAGGAAGATACATCAATCATAAATATGTATGCGCCTAAGAAAAATTCAAAATACATTCTGGACACCCACAGCTTGAAGAACTTCCTGGATGGTAAACACATGGATGTGTCAGGAGGGTGCCGTGCCCTGATTCCACAGGGAGAGGGCATGGAAGCTCTGTGAGCCTCTCAGACTTCACCTCATGTACCTCTTCATTATGCTGTTCCTGAGTTCTCTTTACAGTAAAACTGTAATTGTAAGTACAGTGCGCTCAGTGAGTTCTGTGAGTCATTCTTGTGAGTTACCACATTGAAGGGGTTATCGAAACCCCTGAATTTATAGCTGGTTGGTCAGAAGATTAGGTGACCTGAGACTTGTGGCTGGTATCTGAAGTAAGGGTAGTCTTATGGAGGCTGGAGCCCTTAGATCTGTGGAGTCTAATGCTAACTCTGGGTAGTTAATGTCAAAACTGTGGTACAGTAAATCCAGGTAGAATGGAGACAGAGCACAAGTGCACATGGTGTGTTCACCAAGAAGATGGGTCATATGCAGAAATGCCAAAGACTGAACTCTTGAAGAGTATGTTCTTTGACCATTACAGAACTAAATTACAAACTGAGTGCCGTAATATAGGAAGAAAAATCTCTAAATATCTGAAAATTAAATAATACAATTCCAAATACCCCATGAGTCAAAAAAGAAAACACAAGAGAAATTAAAGAATATTTGAAACTAATAACAACACATCAAAATGTATGGCATTCAAATGAAGCAGGGCATAGAGGGAAATTTATAGCTTTAAATGCTTAATAGGAAAAAAACATAACATCAATTAAGTGTTTATACATCGAAAAAGAAGAGCAAATTAAATCTAAACTAAATAGAAAGAAAGGAAATAATGAAAAGAAATAAAGGAAATGATAAGAGCATAAATCATTTAGATAAATACAAAGCAAAAACAAAATAAAGTCAACATTTGACCTTTTGAAGAGATAAATCTAGTATACTCAGAAATACTGATGAAGAACAAAAGTAAGAAAAGCACAAATTACTGATATTGGTGGTGGAGGAGGGACATAATGACAAATCCTATAGATATTAAAAAAGGAAATATCAATTTTTGTTAACAAATTTGATAACTTAGGTGAAATAGACATATTTATTGGAAAGCACAACTTAACAATATGACACAAGAAACAGAAAATATGAATTGCCCTAAGTATACTAATTAACTTATCTTCATAATCAGAAACCTTCACATAAAGAAAATTGCAGACCCACAATATTTCTCTGGGAAATTTGAGCAAACACACATGGAAGAAATAAATTTTATACCAATTATTTTTATTTGTGAAAATTTATAGGGTATATGAGAAAATTTGTTACATGTATGATCAAGCCAGCGTATTCAGGGTGTCAGTCACCCAAGTACGTACATTTTTGTGAAGTACAGTCATCCTGCTGTATCAAACATTGCATATATTACTTTTATCTTACCATTCCTTTAACTTGTCTTCATTCTCTCCTCTCCCCTCTAACTCCTACCCTTCCCAGTCTTTGTTATCTACCTTTCCATATATTCACATTTGTTATGTTATCTTCCATATCTTACATATCTGATATATGTTATCTTCAATATGTTCACATTTTTTAGCTGCCACATATAAGTGAGAGCATCCAATATTTGTCTGTTTGTGTCTGGCTTATTTCATTTAATTTTTTTTTTGAGATAGAGTCTTGCTCTGTTGCCAGGCAGTAGGCTGGGGTGCAGTGGCCCGATCTTGGCTCACTGCAACCTCCGCCTCCCAGGTTCAAGCAATTCTTCTGCCTCAACCTCCCAAGTAGCTGGGACTACAGGGGTGTGCCACCACGCCCAGCTAATTTTTGTATTTTAGTAGAGATGGGGTTTCACTGTGTTAGCCAGGATGGTCTCGATCTCTTGACCTTGTGATCTGCCTGCGTCAGCCTCCCAAAGTGCTGGGATTACAGGTGTGAGCCACGATGACTGGCTCCAATTTATTTTTTAGGAATAAGACCAGCTTACCCTAACAGATATCAACTGGAAAAGTATGAACTAATACCCTCATGAACATAGACTCAAAACTTTTAAATGAAATATCAGCCAATCAATTATAGCAATATATGCAACATGCAAATAATGATATAATATGTAAAAAATATACAAATATATGCAAATGATGATCAGGTAGGGTTTATCCCAGAAATGTAAGACTAACATTTGAAAATCAATCAGGCCAGATGTAGCAGCTCATGCCTTTAATCCCAGCACTTTGGGAGGCCAAGGCAGGTGGATCATCTTAGGTCAGGAGTTTGAGATCAGTCTGACCAACATTCTGAAATCCTGTCTCTACTAAAAATTCAAAATTAGCCAGGTGTGGTGGTGGATGCCTGTATTCCCAGCTACTTGGGAGGCTGAGGCAGAAGAATCACTTGAACCTAGTAGGCATATGTTGCAGTGAGCCGAGATCATGCTGTTGCACTCCAGCCTGGGCAACAAGAGCAAACCTCCATCTCAAAAAAAAAAAATCAGTCAATATAATTCACTATATTAACAGGTGATATGGTTTGGCTATGTCCCCACCCAAATCTCATTTTGAATTCCCAAGTGTTGTGGGAGGAACCTGGTGGGAGATAATTGAACCATGGGGCAGTCCTTTTGCATGCTGTTCTCATGATAGTGAATAAGTCTCATGAGATCTGGTGGTTCTATAAGGGGGAGTTTCCCTGAACAAGCACCCTCTCTTTGCCTATGGCCATCCATGTAAGATGTGACTTGCTCCTCCTTGCCTTCCACCATGATTGTGAGACTTCCCTAGCCATGCGGAATTGTGAGTCCATTAAACATCTTTCTTTTGTAAATTGCCCAGTCTTGGATATGTCTTTATCAGCAGCATGAAAACAGACTAATATAACAAGATAAAGGACAAAAAGTATATGGCCATTGACGTAGATGCATCAAAAGCATTTGCAGAATTTAGAGTCCATTTATGTTAAATCTCAGCAAACTAGGAATAGAAAATTTTTTTCAAACTAATAAAGAGTATCTACAGGTAACTTAATGCTTAATGGTGAAATGTTATGAGCTTCTCTGTAAGAATGGGAACAAAGCAAGGATGTTGGCTCGTAGCATTTTTATTCAACATCATGCCAGAAATCCTGGCCATTGCAATAAGGCAAGATAAAGAAACAGAAGGCATGCAGATTAGAAAGGAAGAAATACAACCGTTTTTATTTGTGGACAACATAATTTTTTACATAGAGAATTCTAGCTCTTCAGTACTCTGCAAAGCAATGATTAGAACTAAAAAAAAAAAAGTGGCAGTATATAAGGTTAATATACAAAAATAAATTGTATGTCTATGTACTGGCAGAAAATAATTAGAAAATGAAAACTTAAAACAATTTCATTTAAAATATTACCCAAAATATAAATATCTAGAAATATGTATAACAAAATTTACACAATATTTCTACATTGAAAACTGAGACACTACAAAAAACTAAAGAAGACTTAAATATATATATATATATATATATATAAATTACTCTATTAGTCCCAATTTGATTTGTTGATTCAGTAAACTCTTAGTGAAAATCCCAACAAGCATTCCTTGGGGTATAAATTGACAATTCATTTTAAAATTTATAAGAAAATGCAAAAAAAATGCTAATGGCCAAAAAAAAATTTTGTTTAAAGAACAAATTTGGAGGAGTCACTATATGATATCAAGGCTTACTAAAGCTACAGCAGTTAGGAGTGTATGATACTGACCTAAAGAGAGAAATATATCTATGGAACAAATAGAGAATCTGAAAATAGACCCATGCATATGGTTCTTTTTTCCACCAAAGGAGTCAAAGCAATTCAGAGTTTTCAAAAATAACTGTCAACTCTAGGGTCTAGATTGTTGCCTTTAAAACCCATTTATCACTAAAGGAAACAGGGCTTCTTTGGAAAAAAAATGCTTGACTACCTTCCCTCCTATATGAACTATATCTGAGGATGATGAAATAGTTGATGAAGGGGAATTTTTATTTACAAAAGCATCCAGGTAATAAATGAAAGGATGTTGGAATTAGAATATCAGGATTCTGTAATTCTTAATGAATGAATTGAAGGATCCAGAGTACCTTATGGAGTGTACGTGCCAAAAAACAAATCTAATTGGAATCAGAATATTTACATTTATCCAACAATTTGTAGAAAATACGGTGGACAGAAGAACATTTTAAATGAGATTACAGGAATATCCTCAGTAAAATTCTGACTATGGGGACTCTACAGGACAAATGATCTGATTTCTTTAACAAAAAATTAAATAATGAGAAGGTGAAATCTATAAATTAAAAAAGACAAGAGACATAATCAATTGCAGTGTTTGGACCTTATTTTAATCTCACTAACAGATACAGTTAAAAAAAATAAAGTTGTTAAGACAATAAGGGAAATATAAACACTCTTCAGTGTAATTATTCAATAATGATTTAGAGGAACTTCTGCTAATTTCTTTTTTTTAGATAGGATTATAGTATTGTTATGTTTTTGTAAAACTAATTTTTATTTTTTTAGAGTTACATACTAAAGTATTTATAGATTAATTAATGTAATTTTGGGGATATAATTCAAAATAGTAGGGCAAGTGGATATGTCCTAAGAGTTTATTGAAGCTGGCGGTGGCCACATGGACTTCATTATATTATTTTTCCTACTTTTTTAAGTGTTGGAAATTTTCTTTAATAAAAACGTTTTTAAAAAAATCATGCATGGTCCTGTAGAGTTCCCATAGCCTGAATTTTATTGAAGATATTCCCATGATTTCATTTAAAATGTTCTTCTGTCCACTGTATTTAAAAAAAAATATATATATATATATATATATATATATATTATTGCACTTTAGGTTCTGGGGTGCATGTGCAGAACATGCAGAACTGTTGCATAGGTACATACATGGCAATGTGATTTGCTGTCTCCATCCCCCTGTCATCTATATCTGGCATTTCTCCCCATGCTATCCCTCCCAACCTCCCTACCCCATGCTGTCCCTCCCCTGCTCCCCCACAAGCAGACCCCAGTATGTGATACTCCCCTCCCTGTGTCCATGTGTTCTGATTGTTCAACACCTGCCTATCAGTGAGAACATGCACTGTTTGATTTTCTGTTCTTGTGTCAGTTTGCTGAGAATGATGGTTTCCAGATTCATTCATGTCCCTACAAAGGACACGAACTTATCGTTTTTTATGGCTGCATAGTATTCCATGTGTATATGTGCCACATTTTCCCTGTCCAGTCTATCATCGATGGGTATTTGGGTTGATTCCAGGTCTTTGCTGTTGTAAACAGTGCTGCAATGAACATACGTGTGCATGTTTCTTTATAATAGAATGATTTATAATCCTTTGGATATACAGCCAGTAATGGGATTGCTGGGTCAAATGGAATTTCTATCTCTAGGTCCTTAAGGAATTGCCACACTGTCTTCCACAATGGTTGAACTAATTTACACTCCCACCAACAGTGCAAAAGTGTTCCTATTTCTCCATGTCCTCTCCAGCATCTGTTGTCTCCAGATTTTTTAATGATCACCATTCTAACTGGCATGAGATGGTATCTCAATGTGGTTTTGATTTGCATTTCTCTAATGACCAGTGATGATGAGCATTTTTTCATATGTTTGTTTGCCTCATATATGTCTTCTTTTGAAAAGTGTCTGTTCATGTCCTTCGCCCACTTTTGAATGGGTTTGTTCGTTTTTTTCTTGCAAATCTGTTTTAGTTCTTTGTAGATTCTGGATATTAGCCCTTTGTCAGATGGGTAGTTTGCAAAAATTTTTTCCCATTCTGTTGGTTGCCGGTTCACTCTACTGATTGTTTCTTTTGCAGTACAGAAGTTCTGGAGTTTAATTAGATCCCATTTGTCTATTTTGGCTTTTGTTGCTAATGTTTTTGGTATTTTAGTCATGAAGTCTTTGCCTATGCCTATGTCCTGAATGGTTTTGCCTAGGTTTTCTTCTAGGGTTTTTATGGTGTTAGGTCTATGTTTAAGTCTTTAATCCATCTGGAGTTAATTTTAGTGTAAGGTGTCAGGAAGGGGTCCAGTTTCTGCTTTCTGCACATGGCTAGCCAGTTTTCCCAGCACCATTTATTAAATAGGGAATCCTTTCCCCATTGCTTGTTTTTGTCAGGTTTGTCAAAGATCAGATGGTTTTAGATGTGTGGCATTACCTCTGAGGCCTCTGTTCTGTTCCATTGGTGTATATCTCTGTTTTGGTACCAGTACCATGCTGTTTTGATTACTGTAGCCTTGTAGTATAGTTTGAAGTCAGGTAGCATGATGCCTCCAGCTTTGTTCTTTCTGCTTAGGATTGTCTTGGCTATGCAGGCTTGTCCACTGTGTTTTTTACAAATTGTTGGATAAATGCAAGTATTTGATCTGATTCTAGTTAGATTTATGTTTTTTGGCAAAATCTACAAAACTTAAAAAAGAGTCTGGCCTTGACTATGCCAGAAACCTCTATCTCTGTATGCTATTTTGAGCTCCCAATGTCAGTCTTGTTTATTTCTCAGTGTTGTTTATTTCTCAATGTTGCCAAATTTAGGAGATCAATAGATTATTTTCTTTTCCCCCCTCTTTTGGATTGGGATCAACTGAGAGATGGGTGATGAACAAGACAAGTGAGATAAAATATCAGCTTCGTTTTTTTTTGAGATGGAGTGTCCCTCTTGTTGCCGAGGCTGGAGTGCAGTGGCATGATCTTGGCTCACTGCAACCTCCCGCCTCCTGGGTTTGAATGATTCTCCTCTCAGCTTCCCTAGAAGCTGGGATTATAGGTATGTGCCCCCACCCCCAGCTAATTTTGTGCTTTTAGTAGAGACAGCATTTGTCCATGTTGGTCAGGCTGGTCTCAAACTCCCGACCTCAGGTGATCCACCTGTCTTGGCCTCCGTAAGAGCTGAGATTACAGGCGTGAGCCACTGCGCCTGGCCGTCAGCTTCGTTGTTGATAAACACTATATTGGAAGATGTAATAACTACGGAGAACTTCCCTTTCTTTCATTCCAGAAATAAGGCATAGGCATGACTAACAGATAGCAGATCTGTGCTCCTAGAAGACTTACTCTAGAATCAGTGAATTACGGGGATTGAACTTATAACATAAATAAAATGTCAACTACTTTTTAAAAGTATGTGCCATGTGCATGGCACTGTGCTAAGGAAGCAAATTCACATAAGTCTCTGGTGCTACGCCTACTATTCACACCTACACAGCCTGACTTCAGGTATGCTTACTGCATTTCATAGCCAGATGGCTTCTGAAGTCTATTCTAACTTCAAGGACTACAGCTCTTGTTACAGGGAATGTTTATCCTCTACTTGTGTTAATACTTCCCACCCCTGTATATACGTTACTTTAATGGTATTACTGGGATGGGAAGGCTAGACTTGAGTTACCCAACTGTTTTGGGCTATGATTTGAGCCTTAGATGGATCTAAGAGGCTTTGTTTTGCCTTAAGAATTAAATGTGTCAGGAACTCATAGGAAGTGAATACTATCGACATAGTGACTTTTTTTTTTTTTTTTTTTTTTTTAAATTGAGACGGAGTCTCTCTCTGCTGCCCAGGCCGTAGTGTAGTGGCATGATTTTGGCTCACTGCAACCTCTGCCTCCTGTGTTCAAGTGATTCTCCTGCCTCAGCCTCCCGAGTAGCTGGGACTACAGGCATGTGCCACCATGGCCAGCTAATTTTTTATATTTTTAGTAGAGACGAGATTTCATCATGTTAGCCAGGGTGGTTTTGATACTCTGACCTTGTGATCTCCCCACCTTGGCCTCCCAAAGTACTGGGATTACAGGCATGAGCCACTGTGCCTAGCCTGCTACATAGTAACTCTTTAGTGCCTCCTCTTTGCTTTCCTCCTCCATAGGTATGATATTTGCATCTAGGAATGGACATATTATTGTATAAATTAACGAATATAACGAATATAAATTAATGTATTAGGGAACTTCATTATGTGTTTGTTTATAGTAAAGTCTGTTTTTTCTAAAAATCATACCTTATTGATTTCATATCCTTACTTAAATGGATAGTGACTGTGTATCAAGAAATGTAGAACATAGTCTGTGCGTCCAACATGGTAAATATTAGCCATATGTGGCTATTTAAATTTAAACTTGAATTAATTAAAATGAAATGAAAGTAATTCAGTTGTACTAATCACATTTCAAAAGCTTGGTAGCTGCAGGTGTCCAGTGGCTATAGGGAATGATAATGAACAGCACAAATATATAGCATATTTCTATCACCACAGCAAGTTTTATTGAATAATACTGCATCAAATTATCATAATTGACTTGCATAAGGAAAATATATTTTTCTTTTCAGTTCAGTTCTTTTCCATGTTACATTTTTATCACATTCAGTTTTCAGACAAAATATGGAGTAAACTCTGAAATGACACATTTTTTTTCACTGTGCTACTTGCAGCCCATTGAAGACAAAGGAGAATTCAGTGTTCCAAGTTGTTATGGGAATATTAAAAATGATAACGGTGGTTCTAGTCTTACATTTGAGCATCCTTTAGATGATGTAAATGTGGTTGATTTGAAATGGATCCACAACTTTGTGTTAAAATCCCTGGAAGTTTTATATCAAGTGGAAAAATGGGAAACACTAGTATCACTTGCCATTCAGTTCAATACAGTTTCACAGTAAGTAGTGCTGTAAGGACAATTAAAAGTAACAGACTTCATTGAAAAAAAAAGTCTTTTAACTGATGTTTTCTTTTTAATGTGTTCTTTACCCCTGTCTAGTGAGCGGTATACAGAACAAGTGACACCACTTCTGGTGTATGCACAGCGCCAGCTTCTGCTGAGAATACACAAGTTCAAGGGCCCAGATATTACCCAACAACCTTGTGCAAGGTATGAGGCTGAATATGGAGAGAAGGTAAGTTTAAGTTCTGTTATTCATGATGTTGTGATTTCTAATTAGTCCACATATAAAATACAAAGATTTAGAAATGAGATAAGTATTACTATTTCTGCTTTAGTATTAGTATCTCTACTTACTGGCATTTATCATTCAAATCAACAAACATTATTGAGAGCCTGCGATCAAGGCAAACAGGAACTAAGTCCTTGTCCTCAAGAAGCTCATATCAGGTCAAAGCGAACTTAGCCATGAAGCACAATGGGGATGGTGTCTAGAGCCCATGATTTTTTTTTTTTTTGTAGACTGAGTCTCGCCATGTTACCCAGGCTGGAGTGCAGTGGCATAATCTCGGCTCACTGCAACCTCTACCTCTTCCTTAGTGCGTTGATTCAGTCTGTGGCTCTAAGTACATGTCTGCGATGATGGCTTTTGAAATTACATCTCCACTCTAGATCTTTTTTCTAAATTTTGTGTTGGTATATCTAACTGCTTATATCAGCCAGGGTTCAACCAGAGGAGCAAAACCAGTAAGACAGGTCTATTTTATCTATGGAGGGGAAAAAATAAACACAGTGTCTTTCACTATTCCCTTACAACATGATTCTGATACCAGATGTCTGGGGATTTCACCTCACCCCTAAGCAAGAAATCAGTTCTGTAGTGGACGCCAGCTGGGTGTCTTTCTGTTTTTGAGATGGAGTTTCTCTCTTGTTGTCCAGGCTGGAGTGCAATGGCATGGACTCAGCTCATTGCAACCTCCGCCTCCTGGGTTCCTGGGTGTCTTTTAATTCAGTTTCTACACAGTCTATCTGGAGATAGCATCAGATCTGGGTTTTTTTTTTTTTTTTAATGGTGGTTTCATTATGGAAGCATAATTGATTAAATCATTGGCCATTGGTGATCAGCTTAACCTTCTGCCCCTCTCTCCTTTGCAGAGGTTGGGGAGTAGGGCTGAAAGTTCTTATCCTGCCATGGTCTTTCTGGTGAGCAGCCCCCATCCTGAAGCTACCTAGGGGCTGTCATTCAAATTATTCACATACAAAAAGACACCACTTTGGAGATTCCAAGGATTTTAGGAGTTGTATGTCAAGATACAAAGACAAGACCAAATGTATATTTTACAATATCACATCTGTCTAGCCAGCTACCTAGCTGGCTATCCATCAACAGATTTACTACAAGAATTTGGCTTATATGATTGTGGGGGCCAGCTAAGCAAGCTTCAGATCCATAGGGCAGACAGTCAAGGTCATGAACAGGAAGGAACCTCACGTGGACAGAGGCTATTACTCATAGGCAGTCAGTGAAGGAAGATCCAGCCAGGTAGAGGATAGCTGTAGAAGCAGCTGCTGCTGGTGTTTGAAGTCCTGGATGCTGCAGGCAGGTCAGAATCATCTGCTTAGGTCAGGTCCCCTACGGGTAATCTCCCTTGTTTAAAGTCAGTTTAATTAGTATCTGCAAAATCCCTTCACAGTAGCACCTAGTTTGATTGAATAACTGGGATGAAGTGTGTGTATGCTAGAAAATGGATGCTTCCCTCTCTTTCCTCCTCATAGTTTAGCCCTAACCAAGCTGATCCATTAAGAAACCACCACACTGCCCAATGAACATCATTTCTTAGTTGAGGAATACACTTCTTAAATTTAACACATATCAAACAAACCTGTTCTGCTAAGTCTTCAGTCAGTGACAAGCCTTTCCTGGCTACCGGACACCTTGGAGACATCCCTGCCTGCTCTCTTGCTCTCACACCCCGCTTCCAACTGGCTACCAAGTGCTCAACATGCAATCCAAATTGGAAGACTGCTCACCAGCTCCAACGTTCGCTCTTTAATATGCTGTATAATATACCTCACTATTTGTTTATTATCCAAGCCCTTGTTGTATTTGCTTGGGCTAATGCAGTGACCTCTTAATCATCCTGCACCCCACTTTCAGCCTATATTCTTTTTGTCGTTGTTTTGAGATGGAGTCTCGCTCTGTCACCCAGGCTGGCGTACAGTGGAGTGATCTCACCTCGCTGCAACCTCTGCCTCCCAGGTTGAAGCGACTGTCATGCCTCTGCCTTGTGAGTACTTGAGGTTACAGTATAGGTGCGAGCCACCACAACTGGCTGATTTTTGTATTTTTAGTAGAGATGGGATTTCAGTGTTGGCCAGGTTGGTCTTGAACTCCTGACCTCAGACGATCCTCCTGCCTTGGCTTCCCAAAGTGCTGGGATTACAGGTGTGAGCCACCACACACAGGCTATAATCTTTTCTCAATGCAGCAGATACAGTGACCCTTAAAACCTAAATCAGGTTCTGTCATACCTCTATTTAAAACCCTATGGTGGCTTCCCACCATATTAGGAGTAAAGGGAACATCTTTATCATGGCCTTAATATAACTTATCCTACGTAACGTATCCCCCAATCTCTCTAGTAACCCCTATCCTATGACTCCCCTGCGGGTTTTAACTGCACTGTTCTGTAAGGTGTTTCTGCCTTAGGGTCTTTGCATTTGCCGTTGCTCCTGCTGGGAGTGCTCCTCCCCAAACATCCATATTGAATCCCTCACCTTTCCCAATCTTTGCTAAATATTACATTCTCTGTTAGGCCTTTCCTCTCTACCTTTTTACAGCTCTGTGCCTTTTGCTCTATGTCTCTCTAGAGTATTTGCAATTCTTTAATATACTGTATAATGTGCCTCACTATTTGTTCATTATCTCTCTTCTCCCACTAAGATGTTTCACAAGAATAGGAGTTTTTGTTTATTTTGTTCTCTGCTTCATCATCCCTTCTTCTTATAACAGTGTTTGGCACAAAATAGGTGTTCAGTAAAGATCCGTTTAATGAAGCCGGCAAAATAGGAAAGACTAGATCAAGTGGGACCTTATGAGGTTGTGGGAAGGAGTTTGTATTTTATTAGGCTGCATTTATATCTCATTATAAAAGTACCCACAAGGGACAATAAAGAAGAAGCATCTACATCAGACTGGGGTTCCAGGAGGGCTGTATTTGAGTGGTAGGTTAGTTCAAGGGATACGAGTGAAGAAATGGAGAGAAGAGGGTCTTGAGCCCTTTAAAATAAATGTTTTCTTTTAAAAGCTTTTATATTTTCAGATATTTTATTATCTTAGGACTCATGTATCTGTTAGAAATAAATTATCAAAATACTATAGAGGAAGTTAGTTCTGAAAAACTTCACCAGGGAAATTAAAATGGAGTTAATTATAAGTAGGGTGGAAAAATCTGCCATTGGGAAAGCAGATTATATTTTAACTTATATAATGGAAGATATAGTTAGACCAGAGAATTTGTAGAATATTAGTAAATCATATTCTAATTGCTCTACATAGTTTACCTAACGTTCTTCCAGCTGTGCTCTGCAAAAGAAATATGAAAAATTATGGAGCTGCTTTTTTTCATGAAAGTTCTCATGATTAGACACTATTCTGCCAGCTTTTCTTTGTAGCATTGTTAGAGATCTCTTTATTTTGATAAATGAAAAATGAGAGAAACATTACAAGTAAGCCAAATTTTTAACTATAAATACCTGACTAATATTTGTTTTCATCTTTCTTTTTAAAGATAACCTGCCGAAATTTTGTTGGGAAGCAACTTAAGATTAATTCTTCAACCATTGAAGAAACAAGCAACTGCGCAGACTTACTAAAAATGCTTATCTATTCAGGTCAGACCAATCTTACCTTGAAGGTTTATTTTCTCTAAATCAAGGTTTGCCATTGTGTTCTGCAAGTCAAACCTTCCATAATTAGGATGTTTGTAAAAATTTCTTTTGCAGGTTTAGTTGACTGAAAATAATGCATTTGATTTTTGCCATCTTATGTTGCTGTAAATGTTACCTAAGGGGAATTAAAACACATTTATTTTTATTTTAAACGTTTAAGTTCAGGTGTCCATGTGCAGGTTTGTTACAGAGGTAAACTTGTGTCATGGGGGCTCATTGTACAGATGATTTCATTGCCGAGCTATTAAGCCTAGTACGCTTTAGTTATTTTTCCTGATCCTCTCCATTCCCTTTACCCTCTAATAGGCCCTATTGTGTGTTGTTCCCCTCTGTGTGTCCATGTTTTCTTATTATTTAGCTCCTACTTATAAATGAGGACATGTGGTATTTTGTTTCCTGTTCCTGCATTTGTTTCCTCCAGCTCCATCCATGTTCCTGTAAAGGACACGATCTCATTCTCTTTTATGGCTGCATAGTATTCCATGGTGTTTATGTCTCACATTTTCTTTATCCAGTCTATTATTGATGGGCATTAAGATTCATTCCACATCTTTGCACATTGCTCTACAGCTTGTCTAACACTCTTCCAGATGTGCTCTATAAAAGTGTGCATGTGTCTTTATAATAGTTAACAATTTATATTATTTTGGAGATACACACACAGACACCCACCCACCCACCCACCCAGTAATGGGATTGCTAGGTGAAATGGTATTTCTGTCTTTAGGTCTTTGCAGAATTGCGTCACTGTTTTCCACAATGGTTGAACTAGTTTACACTCCCACTAACAGTGTATAAGTGTTCCTTTTTCTCCATAACCTTGCCAGCATCTGTTATTTTTTGATTTTTTACTAACAGCCGGTCTGATTGGTGTGAGATGGTATCTCATTGTTGTTTGACTTGCATTTCTCCAGTGATCAGTGATATGGAGCTTTTTTCCTATGATTGTTGGCCACATGTATGTTCTTTTTTGAGAAGTGTCTGCTTATGTCTTTTACCCACTTTTTAATGGGGTTGTTTTTTTTCTCATAAATTTGTTTAAGTTCCTTATAGATGCTGGATATTAGACCTTTGTTGGATGCATAGTTTGAAAACATTGTCTCCCATCTGTATATCTGTTTACTCTGTTAATAGTTTCTTTCACTGTGCAGAAGCTATTTAGTTTAATTAGACCCCATTTGTCAATTTTTGCTTTTGTTGCAATTGCTTTTGACATCTTCATTCTGAAATCTTTGCCTGTGCCTATGTCCTGATATTGCCTAGGTTGTCTTCCAGGGTTTCTATAGTTTTGGGTTTTGAAATTAAGTCTTTAATGCATCTTAAGTTAATTTATGTAGATGGTGTAAGGAATGGGTTTAGTTTCAATCTTCTGCATGTGGCTACCCAGTTAAACCAAAACCATTTTTTTAATAGGGAATTTTTTTCCTATTGCTTGTTTTGTCAGGTTTGTTGAAGATTAGGTAGTGTAGATGTGTGGTCTTATTTCTCAGCTCTCTATTCTGTTCTACTGGTCAATGTGTCTCTTTCATATCAGCACCATGCTGTTTTGATTACTGTAGCCCTGTAGTTTAGTTTGAAGTCAGGTAGTGTGATGTCTCCAGCTTTGTTCTTATTGCTTAGGATTGCCTTGGCTATTCAGGCTCTTTTTTGGTTCTATATGAATTTTAAAATAGTTTTTCTTGTTCTGTGAAGAATCTCAATGGTACTTTAATAGGAATAACAGTGAATCTATAAATTTCTTTGAGCAGTATGACTGTTTTAATGATATAGATTCTTACTATCCATTGGATGGAATGTTTTTCCATTTGTGCCATCTCTGATTTCTTTGAGCAGTGGTTTGTAGTTCTTTTAGAGATCTTTTATCTCCCTATTTAGCTGTATTCCTAAATATTTTATTCTTTTTGTAAAATGCTTTTTTAAAAAGTTGAATCTATAAGTTAGATAAGAGAAATAAAAGGAAAAGGGAAATCAATTGGGAAAAAAGAAAGATGGAAAAAGGTTGTTTTGCACATTTTTTTTCTTGTTTTTATCTTACTTATGAATGCTTTTGCTATTTGGCCTTTTGCAATTTTCTTTATTCTGTTTCAACTCCCATATTAATTCCATTTCCCTAATTAATATAGATTATTCTATTGGTTTTGCTATGTTTAAGTTGTAGAGCTTTTAACTAGAGCACAGGAGAAGATTTGGGAATGTCATGACTTCTTTGCTTTTAGCTGATAAGCCCTGGATTAGTCTGTTTTCATGCTGCTTATAAAGATATACCTGAGACTGGATAATTTATGAAGAAAAAGAGGTTTAATGAACTCACAGTTCCAGATGGCTGGGGAGGCCTCACAATCACAGCAGAAGGCAAAGGAGGAGCAAAGTCACATCTTAACCTAGCGGCAAGCTGGAGAGCATGTGCAGTGGAGCTGTCCTTTGTGAAAACATCAGATCTCACCTGACTTATTTACTATCACAAGAACAATGTAGGAAAACTCACCCCCATGATTCAATTACCTCCCACTGGGTCCTTCCTGCAACGTGTGGGGATTATGGAAGCTACAATTCAAGATGAGATTTGGGTGGGGACATAGCCTCTGACCTCTCCCAAATCTATGTCCTCACATTTCAAAACCAATCATGCCTTCCCAACAGTCTCCCAAAGTCTTAATCATTTCAGCCTTAACTCAAAAGTCCACAGTCCAAAGTCTCATCTGAGACAAGGCGAGTCCCTTCAGCCTATGAGCCTCTAAAATCAAAAGCAAGTTAGTTATTTCCTAGATACAATGGGGGTACAAGCATTGGATAAATACACCTATTCCAAATGGGAGAAATTAGCCAAAATAAGCAAATCTAAAATCCAATAGGGCAGTCATTAAACCTTAAAGTTCCAAAATGATCACCTTTGACTCCATGCCTTACGTCCAGGTCATGCTGATGCCAAGAGGTGGGCTCCCATAGTTTTGTGGGTTTGCAGGGTAGGGCCCCCACTTCTGGGTGCTTTCACAGGCTGGCGTTGAGTTTCTGCGACTTTTCTGGGTGCACAGTGCAAGCTGTCAGTGGATCTATCATTTTGAGGTCTGGAGGATAGTGGCTTTCTACTTACAGCTCCACTAGGCAGTGCCCCAGTGGGGACTCTGTGTGAGGTCTCCAGCCCCACATTTCCCTTCTGACTGCCCTAGCAGAGGCTCTCCATGAGGGCCCCACCTCTGCGGCAAACTTCTGCCTAGATATTTAGGTGTTTCTGTACATCCTCTGACATCTAGGTGGAGCTTCCCAAATCTGAATTTTTGACTTCTGTGCACATGCAGACTCAACACCATGTGGAAACTGCCAAAGCTTGGGGCTTGCATCCTCTGAAGCCATGGTCTGAGCTGTGCCTTAACCCCTTTTAGCTGTGGCTGGAGAGGCTGGGATGCAGGGCATCAAGTCCCTGGTCTGCACATAGCAGTGGGGCCCTTGACCTGGCCCAGGAAATCATTTTTCCCTCGTAGGCCTCTGGGCCTGTGATGGGAGGGGCTGCTGCAAAGGTCTTTGACATGATGTAGAGACATTTTCCCCATTGTCTTGGTGATTAACATTTAGCTCCTTGTTACTTATGCAAATTTCTGCAGTCTGCTTGAATTTCTCTTCAGAAAATGGGTTTTTCTTTTGTACTGCATTGTCAGGCTGCAAATATTCCCAACTTTTGTGCTCTGTTACCTCTTGAATGCTTTGCTGCTTAGAAATTTCTTCTGCCTGATATAGCTAAACTATATCAAGCCCTTTTGGAATGTTTTCGGCCATGCAACTTGTAGGAATGACGCAAGAGAATGAGATGAAAATGGAAATAATGTCTTCTCTAAATTGCACTTTTCATGTGTCTCTGTTTCTGGTATCAAAAAGCCACGTAAGTCTTCCCTTTGAAGTGTTAGAATTCTTTCACTTATTTATCTATTCATTTTATGTGTGTGTATGTGTATAAATGTAAGCATTCATTCATTTATTTATGGAGGCAGTCAGCTAGTCATTCAGTCATTCAGCAAACATTTACTGAGTATCTACTATGTGTGAAGTGCTGTACTAGGTTCTGAGAATATAAAGATGAATGAGACTAAAGATTTGTTGCCCAGGAGTTTATGGTCCATTAAAGGAGATGAATAAAAACCCAGAAATTATAGTATAGAGTGATAAGATATGTAATGTTATTACTACTGCTGCTGCCGTATGTTAACAGCAAGCATCTGCATTTGTGAGACTGCAAGAAATCCAGTGGGGCTAACTTCAAAGGAAATGGCAAAAGCTGAGGTTAGAAAGGTTGGCAGGAATAAACAGCCTTAGAGGGCAGGATAGAGACCTAGGTTTATCTGGAGAACTGAGGGGAGCTGGTTAAAAGGATTTAAAGAAAGAAAGTGAAATGATCATATTGACATTCTTTTCACTTGATCTTAGCCCAAAGGCCAAGAAGTGATATATTTGCCTGTTTTTGAAAACCTTTGGCAGCTGTGTGGGAAACAGATTGAAAAGAGACCAAATGGAAGTAGAAGAGTGGCCACTGCTGACCTGTGTCTTAAAGTACAGGTGATGAAAACCTGGACTTGGGTGGTAAGAACAGAGGAAGGAACAGATGTGAAGGAGAGACAGAGGATGTCCCCAGGACTGTGGTCTGCACTGGCTGGAGGTGGGGTATGGGTGAGGGAGGGAGGAGTTCAATTCGCCTTGGTTTCTGGCTTGGGTAGCCAGATGGATGACGATGTCTTCACCCAGACAGGAGAACCAAAGAGGGGGGCAGGTTAGAGGAAAAGGTCACTTTGGAATGACTTGCTTGGATGTAGTTCATCTAAACTTGGATGACAATGAGTACAGCCATGCAGTGTATGGTTGGATATACTAATGGGGCACTCAGGAGAGAGCCAGGTTGGAGATCTGTATTTTAGTTATCAATATATTGGTGGTGGTTGAAGTCAGGGGTTTGGATG